AGAATATTGTCAAAAAATTAAAACAGAACTTGCGTTTCAGATTAAAAAAGGGTCTGGGAAACGTGCATAATGCATGATTTTGCGCCATTTTTTCTATAGCTTCTTGGGGCCTTCAGCGAACCACAGACTCTGCTCTGATATTTTTTTTGGCCTCGCTCCGCTCGGCGAAAAACATATAACAACTTTTAAAAGAGGCTAGTTACAGCCCAGCTTTAATACCTTGTACGTATGCAATATATGCAGTTTGCAATTCAGAAGATTAGCTTCCTGAGGATGATGATTAATTCTGATTGACTTAATTGACTATGTTATTTACTTAAGAATTCAAAAGTTGTATGTTTTCAAATATTATAAATATAATTGTGAAAATAGATAATCAGTCCCTTGTTTTAATGAAAATGAAAAATCATGCTTCAACAGTGCAGAAAATAAATAATCTGTCCTTTTGTCCACAAAAATAAATAACCCATCCAAAACTGTATCATTTATACCAAATATTATATAAGTATGGATCCCAAACTGCACATTAATCATAGTTTAATATAAATCTGGGAACAGTATATAGTCAATATATATGTTCCTGTATAAATATATGTTTTTTCTTCATAAATTTACCTATTTTCTTACGAGGAAAGCATAAATTGAGTCGAAGACTCGTATGTTTTTTGTCAACGTTTGACATATTAGTTTTGTTTCTGCTTAGGTTTACTTCCGGTTTTATTAAGTATAAATACCTCAAAGGCCAATAACCGCAGTATTTGCTGTTATTACTTCTGCGAAAGCAAAGACCCGATATGGATCCCTGTTTAGAAGTAAGGACACGCAGACAGCTGTATGCCTCGCATTGTCTAATTTATTTACCATACAAGTACCATTTGGCATTCCCATATTATTAGCTTATTAGCTACAGCATGAATGTCAGTTTGTCTGCATTATATTTTGCTTTTATATGCTTTGATTTTCTTTTAATTTGCTATAATTTGCTATAATTTGCTGTGCTTTTATAACAGTATTTATGCTATGCTTGATGTGCTTTCTGTTTTAAATAATGTCGATTTTAATTTTGACTCCTGTCTATCTTAATACAATTATCAGATGCATTGAAAAGCATGGTTCATATTGGATTCTCTCCTGTTTACCAGGAAAAAATCTGAATCAAAAATTAAAAGCCATTTGTTTGAAGACTTTTCCACCTTTATCATATTCACTTGCAGATAAAAAAAAAATATAAGATAGAAATACCAACTATCAGTGTCAGGAGTAAGTGTCAAAATACACACAGATTATGGTACTTTTCCCTCAAACAATGGGTAAAATTAAAGATCATTTCTGGTGTAAAAAAAAGAGCTTATTGTTTTAAAGTGATTAAAAAAATATGGTTCTATATAGTTTTGATTGAAATAAGGTAGATTATATACTACTTCTGGTTTTCAATATGACACTTTCGGTTTCATATGATAGGTTACTGCACACTGATTCCAAAAATATATGTTCAGAAGTTCTTTTACATGAAACTTGTGCAAAAAAGGTGACTTTCTGATTACTCAAGATTAATTCATGTTGACATTTCTCAAGGTCATGTGACTTCTAAACTAAAGCAAAAGACTCAATGGCTTTATCATGTACCGGTTTAGATATAGCAAAGGTCAACTCTAGAATGTAAAATTGACCTTTGACCTTGACGGGATCACAATTTCAAGATCATAAGCATGGTTCTCACATCAATAGACCCTAGGTATCTACTATGTATGGTTAATGAGTTGTATCATTATAAAATTTATTTTAATCATTCCAAGAGAAATAACTCCCTTTAAATTGTCCTTTTACCATTCTGACCAAAATAATTTGCATCATCCTGAGGATGTAACTATCAATTTGGGAAAATATTTTTTTTCAGGTTGCAAAAGAGTAGTAATAACAAGAAAAACAGTGTTTTCAGGAAAATGACTGTTATAAAGAAAGGTATTTGATTAAATAAATTGAAAATGTGTCCCCATGGACACAGATGATGCCCCTGATTGCATACAACATTATAAAAGGACATAACTCAAAAACAATAAAAGTGACGCTACCCAAATTTGTACTACATCTGAGTTTTGTGGTAATAAGTATTGTGTATAGGTTTCATAATGTTTGGTTGGGGCAAACTTAAGTTACAGAATAGAAACTTAACATTTTGCAATTTTTCCATTTATAAAGGGGCATAACTCGATAATTGTTAGAGTGACGCCACTAAAATTGAACTTGATCTGTGTTTTGTGGTAATGAGCATTGTGTATAAGTTTCATAACATTTGGTAGAGGCAAACTTAAGTTAGAGAACGGAAACTAAAAATTTTGTAATTTTTTCATTTATAAAGGGGCATAATTCTAGAACGGTTAGAGTGATGCTACCAAAATTCAAACTTGATCTGTGTTTTATGGTAATAAGCATTGTGTATAAGTTTCATAACATTTGGTTGAGGCAAACTTGAGTTAGAGAACGGAAACTAAAAATTTTGTAATTTTTTCATTTATAAAGGGGCATAATTCTAGAACGGTAAGAGTGATGCTACCAAAATTCAAACTTGATCTGTGTTTTATGGTAATAAGCATTGTGTATAAGTTTCATAACATTTGGTTGAGGCAAACTTAAGTGAGAGAACGGAAACTAAAAATTTTGTAATTTTTCCATTGATAAAGGGACATAACTCTAGGATGGTTAGAGTGACGCTACCAAAATTCAAACTTGATCTGTATTTTGTGGTAATAAGCATTGTGTATAAGATTCATAACATTTGGTTTAGGCAAACTTAAGTTAGAGAACGGAAACTAAAAATTTTGTAATTTTTCCATTGATAAAGGGACATAACTCTAGGATGGTTAGAGTGACGCTACCAAAATTCAAACTTGATCTGTATTTTGTGGTAATAAGCATTGTGTATAAGATTCATAACATTTGGTTGAGGCAAACTTAAGTTAGAGAATGGAAACTAAAAATTTTGTAATTTTTCCATTGATAAAGGGACATAACTCTAGGATGGTTAGAGTGACGCCACTAAAAATCATAGTAGATCTGTGTTTTATGGTAATAAGCATTGTGTATAAGTTTCATAACATTTGATAGAGGCATTCTTAAGTTAGAGAAAGGAAACTAAAAATTTTGTAATTTTTTCCATTTATAAAGGGGCATAACTCTAGAACAGTTAGAGTGACGCTACCAAAATTCAAACTTGATCTGTATTTTGTGGTAATAAGCATTGTGTATAAGTTTCAGAACATTTGGTTGAGGCAAACTCAAGTTAGAGAACGGAAACCAATTTTGGGACGTACGGACGTACAGACGGATAGGGTAAAATTTAATGCCCCCTTTGCTACGGCAGGGGCATAAAAAAAGTGCAGAAAACTGATTATTTGAGTGAATTTTCTAAGTCCAAGGACCATAACTCTGCACAAAATCATCAGACCAGAACATAATCTGAACTTGATCTGTAACTTGTCATGATAAAACTATATACCAAATTTCTAATCAATATCTAAAAGCATGAAGAAAAAAAGTATGGAAAACTGATTTGCCGGACTGATGGATGGACAGACAGACAGACAGACGGAGTGCAAACCTAAAGTCCCCTTTGACTTCGTCGGTAGGGGCCTAATAAAGGACATTTGGTTTAATTGCCAATGAAAAAATCTTCTACTTGAGTCCAAATAACATAGAATTAGGCAATTATAGGTAATTCTAATATGACGTTCTTCAAATGCTTTGAGTACACACCCGTGGTAAAATTCTAATATATTCATTTGTCAGCTGATAGGCAACGTCATGATTTGTTTGGGCTGTTCCTATCCTACTCCTCCGTCATATGCTTTTTATGAATACTTTACCTCACGTCAGATGGTGTAAATGACGTCAATGAAGGATGACGGAAGAATGTTAGGATTTTACGGGAAAATGCACAAAATTAATGGGAAACTGAAAGTCGTCAAAACATGAAAACATAAACAAACGATGGTAAGAATTTGTATAATGTCCATATCTTCTTAAATGAAAGTAACATAGTCAATCAAATTCATCAAAATCTGTCTCAGTATGTTATTGTACCGGTATATAGTTTAAGAATGTCACTTATTCAATTTTCTTCATCCTTTATGTTAATATGAATAGTGTGTTCAATTAAAGGAACAGCAAACATGTCCCTTCACATAGAGCACTTTAATCTCAAAGAATTGCTGTGTTTGTCCTATAAGAATAGAAATAATTCATGTGGGCTTGATTTTATATTGATTTTACCACAGGTTGGCCCTTTATGCTGATATTTTACCCCTTGCTGTCCTTCATGGTAAAATATTTAGCATGGTAAAATCACCATAAATTCAAACCCCCATGAATTATTTTTTAACCGTACAGTCTTCAACAATGAGCAAATTGGTCTTGTGTTTGCTTATAAAAACATTTTACCCATTTACAAACTGTGGGGCCAAAAACTGTAATCAAAGCATCGTCGATGTTGTGATCCAGCCATATTCATAGCTAGTCTGATATTCTTTTTCAAAATTGTTTTTCTCTTTTCATTTCCAATCTTACTGTAAAATTTCTATGTTAATGTCCAAAGTTAGGGAATTTTGCAATATTGATGCAAATATTGCTATATATATTGATTTTTCAATTTTAGACTCTGTCAGATTTTTATTTTAATAAATATTTGCAATTTAATGGTATTGAAAAGAATGGAAAGGGAAATTGTCAAACAAGTAATATATTTGTTTATATGCCATTAATTATAACTGGCTTAATAATTTCCAGAAAGAGGCCTTGGAAATGCACTTTCTCAACAACAAAAATAAAAAAAAATAATAACTATTTTTTATCTGAATTGGTGTTCATTCTTCATTAAGAAAAAATACATTTCCTGTATTCAAATTTAAATGTACAATAATAAATATTGAATCTTGAATCTACAATTACCTAATGCTGAGATATTTCCATTTACTGTTAAATAGCAATATAATGGGATATAAATGTAGAACAAACAAATAAATTTTATTGCAGAAAATGCTCAGGTAAGAGTTATGCAATTTTGTTTATTGTTTCAACCAATTTTCTGATAATTGTAACTAATTAATTAGAACTTGATTATTGACTTATGTCAGATGACAATGACACTGATTTTACAAGTGAAATAACATTTTCTTGCATTTTTTATACATATTTTTTTCATTTTTTGTCTTTTCTTTGAGAAAAAAACCACATTTGATTAATCATTCAGCTAGCTAGCAAAATTAACAGAATATTTTAATGTAGTGTAGATCAAAATAAAGAATACATTTGTAGGTTTACTATTGAGGTCAAGAATGTGTGTATTCAGTTAGGTGTGTAATAAATTGTGTCTATTTAATTATGTAACAGGTCATGCGATATTAACTGTTGTGAATTAAGACTGGGGTTGTTTCCAATTAATACTTACACCTTTGAGTGTAATTATTTGAAAATCATGACAGTTGATAGTCATACTGACTCTTACTTGCCTGTGGAAAGAATTGGAGTAATACCATTTTAAAAAAGTGTGGGAATCAACTTAGATATATTAATACACTTATTGACCCAAATTTCATTGAACAATAACTTACATAACCATAAGATACTAATATAATACGTTCAAAATTCTTATCAACTGATTCAATTGATGTACAAATACTTTTTCAAATTAATTCATAAATAGTAAATCATTATAAATTTTGATTTACAAAGGAACTATATGCAAGTGTATATCTAAAATAAATGGGTTGTTCGACCAATCTTTTCTTAATTTAAGGGCAAATAACATGTCAAAAGTTGGCAGCTGATGATTAAAATGGTGTAGAAAGTTTCTGAAAGTCATAAAAATACATAATTAGTTTCATGATATGTCTTCAACTTAGTATTCTGCACCATCTCCAAAACCAGAGTGATCGCATAGATCCAGCATGGCTGAATCAAAAATCCAAAGCGTTTAAAAAAAAGATCATTCAACCTTTTTGAAAGGCCTTTTCAAAATCAAGTAGATTGAATAATCTAGTTATCCTCTAGATTTGCACTTTGTGAATCTACCATGAAATGGAGTTTTTGGTCCTCACACATTATTCCTACAATCTCCATGTCAATCAAATAATTTTACTTCTTCAGTTCCTTTTATTATAAACTGCAGAATCTTCTAAGTCATATGATATTAGCCCAAAGAATCTGCATTTTTTATTGTACACTGAACTTATTAAACATGATATAATATTTCTATTTCAAAATCAAAATAAATTATAATCAACACACTTTAACACATGACATCTGATCTGGTTACTTTACATTAGCAGGATTTCCATCCTTGATTATTTTCCACTTGATTGTCTTCTAAAACTTCAAGGAAGAAAAGACTTCTGGATATTTCTCAAAGAATCCCTATAAAATTGAAAATCATTTAATGACTTTTAACAATTCATTTTATAACCAATAAGTTTAACTATCCAATTATCTAAATAATAGTATCTTATTCAAAGCTTTTAAAAAACAAAATAGATAAAAATACCCCACATAAACACATCAATATATATCTGTTAAAGAGTTTATCAAAACCACAGTTTTCTATATCTGCAATGGTCACCCTTTTCACAGTATTATGAATGCAAAAGAAATAAGAAATAAGTATCTCTTCTTTAGCAGTTTAGGACAATGTCTACAGTATAGGCAGAGCAGCCACCTTACAGAAGCATTGGTTCAAATTCTGCTGATGGAAGAAAATTTGCTATTGCAAATCTGCAGATCTAACAAAAGGTATGTGTAATTTGTGGTGTTAGCCCTGTATAACCCTATGTTTTCTTATGGAAATGTCAGTCATAAAGTTTTCACTTATCCAAGACCTATATATATATATACAGAAGAATACTTTTTGATTAATTATGATGAAATGACCAATTTTGGTTGACATTATCTACCCGTCACCTGATAATTGACAGGAGGCATGAAAGTGCTAATGACATTCAACTGTGTAATACAAGATATGAGATGTGAAATGTAATCAATACATTTTTATTCATTTTTATATAATTAAATACAAAATCTGACTTGTAACTTACCTTATATAAACAAATAGCCTGAGATACACTAGAAGTACAACACATCTCTCTTATAGAGTGCATACTTAGTTGTGGGGCACCAATGTCTATTGTCGGTATTCCTAGTTTAGCTGACATGATCGGTCCTATTGTAGATCCACATGGTGAGTCATTCCTTACAACAAAATCCTGTATAGAAATAGAAATTTTACTCTATATATATATATATCATATATACTATACAAACAAGAAATTTGTATTCATAGGACACCATGTCCTGCTCACACTCACTATCCTATGTCATTGTTCATCTGTGAAATAGGGGTCAAAATCTTAATTTGCCATATAAAAGTTCACCTCACAAAAAACACATGTACAAAGCTTCAATTTGGTGTGAACAAAACTTCATGGTTACCTGAACCAAAAACTTGGTAATGAACTTATCTCCCTGTATCACATTTCTGTGATCATTGAATCATGCAATCAGGATAAAAACACTAACTTAGCATAATATTTTAAAAGTTCACATCATAATACACATGTATATTAAGTTTCAAGTTGATGTGACCATAAATTCATAGTAAACTACCTTAACCAAAACTTAGCCTAATATTGGCCAGACAAAGGGACAAACTAATGGACTAACAGACAAACTGACAAACATATAGACCAGAAAAATAATGCCATTTACTATCATAGAGGGGGGGGGATAAAAAAGTAATGTTGTGCATATACTTCACATATCAGAATTCACCAGTATAAAATTATAAAATTAAGTTAAGGATTCCAGTAAAACTTCTGTATATTCTTAGTCTGAACATTTGTTGTGCACACAGAATTCAGTATCTTATCTTTTTACCACTACATTGTATGGTATCACTGCTGAAGGCCAATTAGTCTCCAACAGTACTTAACAGGCTTAACAACACTGTGTTTAAACAACTAACAGGAACATATATGCTAAAGAGTACTTAACAGGCTTAACAACACTGTGTTTAAACAACTAATAGGAACATATATGCTAAAGAGTACTTAACAGGCTTAACACCACTGTGTTTAAACAACTAACAGGAACATATATGCTAAAGAGTACTTAACAGGCTTAACAACACTGTGTTTAAACAACTAACAGGAACATATATGCTAAAGAGTACTTAACAGGCTTAACAACACTGTGTTTAAACAACTAACAGGAACATATATGCTAAAGAGTACTTAACAGGCTTAACAACACTGTGTTTAAACAACTAATAGGAACATATATGCTAAAGAGTACTTAACAGGCTTAACACCACTGTGTTTAAACAACTAACAGGAACATATATGCTAAAGAGTACTTAACAGGCTTAACAACACTGTGTTTAAACAACTAACAGGAACATATATGCTAAAGAGTACTTAACAGGCTTAACAACACTGTGTTTAAACAACTAACAGGAACATATATGCTAAAAAGTACTTAACAGGCTTAACACCACTGTGTTTAAACAACTAACAGGAACATATATGCTAAAGAGTACTTAACAGGCTTAACAACACTGTGTTTAAACAACTAATAGGAACATATATGCTAAAGAGTACTTAACAGGCTTAACACCACTGTGTTTAAACAACTAACAGGAACATATATGCTAAAGAGTACTTAACAGGCTTAACAACACTGTGTTTAAACAACTAACAGGAACATATATGCTAAAGAGTACTTAACAGGCTTAACAACACTGTGTTTAAACAACTAATAGGAACATATATGCTAAAGAGTACTTAACAGGCTTAACACCACTGTGTTTAAACAACTAACAGGAACATATATGCTAAAGAGTACTTAACAGGCTTAACACCACTGTGTTTAAACAACTAACAGGAACATATATGCTAAAGAGTACTTAACAGGCTTAACAACACTGTGTTTAAACAACTAATAGGAACATATATGCTAAAGAGTACTTAACAGGCTTAACAACACTGTGTTTAAACAACTAACAGGAACATATATGCTAAAGAGTACTTAACAGGCTTAACAACACTGTGTTTAAACAACTAACAGGAACATATATGATGTGAGATATATGTCCAAATGACCAAAAGACATCTGAAGGTCCACATACAAGGCGCACATTAATTATTTGCCACAGGACATTAAAGAAATATGAACCGAATTTCTGGTACAAATAATATAAAAGAAATTATAAAACAAATGCATGCATATATACTAAACTTAGTCCCCTGTGCACATCTTTTTTAGCATTTATTACAAATCCATTCGTATAATTGACAAAAAAAATTTATTCAGCGATTGTTGATCAAAAAGTTTGGGTTCTAACTAACTTATGAGTTTTGTTACCGAAGTTTACCAATCTTGACCTTGATAAACAATCAACACAGATTAATAGAGCACGTGGAAAATAAGTGAGTTGATATAGCTATGTTTATTTTGTTTTATATATTTTCCATGCATTTCCAAGTGTTAATCAAACTTTGTCATAACAGTTGTTAAATCATAAAAAAAATTTGTTGTATTTTGTCTTTCAGAATTAATTAACACTATCTACCTTCTAGTGCATGTTTGTTTACCTTTTCTTTCATCACGGTTTTTCCCTTTCACTTACACTGTGTGGTTGTCAAAGTTCTAACGAGAGGTTAATGTCACTGCAAACGGAAAAGCTATCGGCAAATTTGTCTTTGTAAACACAATAATTCAATAGCAGGACATTTCTTAAGATTTTGATAAGATAAAGCATTTTCTTTTACAAGAAAGTCTATGTATATTTTTTTTATCCATTCAAGTATATAAAACAAATTCAACTTTTTTTTTTAATTTGAAATATCATAACTTTAAACAATCAATCAATCATTATCAACAGTTACAAATTATATTGTTTTGAATCATGCATATATTTTTAGGTATTGACCACTTATTCTGGCCTGAACATACAAGAAAGTAGTACATATTCATACAAAATTGTTCCTAAGCATTGCTGTTAGTTTGTAAATAAGTAAAAATTTTGGGTAATTTTGGTATCAAATGATTACTTTAGAACCCTTGTTAGTTTCTTTTGAATAACTTGAAAAAGGAGGGTATATTTTGCCTTTAGTATACTATAAAACACTATCCTTTATTGTACTACAAGAGTGCACATGCTGAAATGTATTGCCTGCTTTGCTGACCATTGATTTTATGTTGAAAGTCTTGAAAGATAAAGGTTTTATTAAAAGCATCACAAAAAACTCAAGTCAGATAAATCCTGTCAGACAAACATATACACCTTACAATTTTCTTACACACAAAATATAGTTGACCTATTGCTTATGATAATTGAAAAACAGACCAAAACAAAAAAAGCTTAACATTGACTAATGAACCATGAAAATGAGGTCAAAGTCAGATAATACCTGCCAGACAGATATGTACACCTTACAATCATTCCATACACCAAATATAGTTGACCTATTGTTTATAGTACTTAAAAAACAGACCAAAACACAAAACCTTAACATCGACCAATGAACCATGAAAATGAGGTCAAGGTCAAATGAAACCTGTCAGTCTGACATGTACCCATTACAGTCATTCCATACACTACATGTAGTTGACCTACTGCTTATAGCATTTGAGAAATGGACCTAATCATGTAACTTTAGCCTTGATCACTGATCCATGAAATGAGGTCGAGGTCAGGTTAACCCTGTCTGATGGACATGTAGACATTGCAAGAAACCCATTAACCAAATATAGTTATCCTATTACTCATAATAAGTGAGAAATTCACATGACAAAAAAACTCAAATTTTTTTCAAGCAGTCGCTGAACCATGAAAATGAGGTTTAGGACAATGGCCATATGACAGACGGAACCCTCATAACATAAGGTATCTGCATACAAGATATGAAGCATCCAGGTCTGAAATATAAAGCTTTATACAAATAGTTTACGCCACAGCTTCGGCCTGAAAGTAAAACCTACATCTCGCATACTGCGACTTTTGTCCTTTATTGTACTATAAAATACTATCCTTTATTGCATGTTTTCCAGATAGTGGGTTGTATGCAGTTTACAAGCCATGTGAAATATTGTTTCATATACACTACAGGATTTGTACAGAAGTTAATCTTTATAATTTTTTCTATTTGCACTTACCTGTAATGGACATCCAGATTTTAATGCTATCTCTCTCAGTATAGTAGTAGTTATAGCTGTGGTAGCATATCTTTGGTTGGAATTAAATTTTAATACTATTCCCTGTAATAAAATGATAACAATCATAGCCAATGATTCCGTACTAACATTCTATGAGGGTAAACTAGTAATCAACTACAAATGATCCTTCAATGAACATAAATTCAAATTCAAACTCAAATTAAAAGGTAGAGTAAGTATACGGAAATGAGATGACAAGGCATTGTCAACATAGCAAATCATTTCACTCATATTCTGGATCTAGTGACATTTTATAAATATACTGGACCAACTGGATATACTGTGCATCAACTATCATAAAAGCTGACAAAACAAACAGAAGATGCAGAAAAAAAAGAAAAAAAATAGTCCACACCCCAACAAAATGAATCAAAAAGCTTAACAGTATACTAAAAGGACTAGAAAACCCATAAAAAGAACAATAACTTCCTTAAAAAAGATTAAATCAAAATGGTGGTATAAGATGCTCAGCAACACATGATGGAAAACAATCCTACATAATATCAGAGCTTTCTGTTAAATGGTTTCAGAGGAGTTTCGTTCACAAGGTGTCATTGTTACAATATACAATAAAATGCTTCGCTGGGCGCAGCTTGATACGACCGCAGAGGTCGAACCCTGAACAGTTGGGGCAAGTATGGACACAACATTCAAGCTTGATACAGCTCTGAATTTGGATTGTGATTAAATATTTGACACAGCATAGGTTTCTGACACAGAAAGAATGTGGTCTAAGAACTTCAATTTTTTTAATTTACCTATTATGGTCCAATGCCCAAAATCAAAATACATGGTTAGATTTAGCATATCAAAGAACCCCATATATTCAATTTTTGTTGAAATCAAACAAAGTTTAATTTTGGACCCCAACTTGGACCAACTTGAAAACTGGTCCCATAATCAAAAATCTAAACACATGTTTAGATTCAGCATATCAAAGTACCCCAAGAATTCAATTTTTGTTAAAATCAAACTAAGTTTAATTTTGGACCCTTTGGACCTTAATGTAGACCAATTTAAAAAACGGGACCCAAAATTAAAAATCTAAAAACACGGTTAGATTTGGCATATCAAAGAACCCCAATAATTCAATTTTTGATGAAATCAAACAAAGTTTAATTTTGGACCCTTTTGACCTCAATATGAACCAATTTGATAGCGGGCCTACAAAATAAAAAATCTAAATACATGGTAAGATTCAGCATATCAAAGAATCCCATATATTCAATTTTTGTTGAAATCAAACAAAGTTTAATTTTGGACCCCAATTTGGACCAACTTGAAAACTGGGCCAAAAATCTAAAATCTAAATACATGTTTAGATTCAGCATATCAAAGAACCCCATATATTCAATTTTTTGTTGAAATCAAACAAAGTTTAATTTTGGACCCCAACTTGGACCAACTTGAAAACTGGTCCCATAATCAAAAATCTAAACACATGTTTAGATTCAGGATATCAAAGAACCCCAAAAATTCAATTTTTGTTAAAATCAAACTAAGTTTAATTTTGGACCCTTTGGACCTTAATGTAGACCAATTTAAAAAACGGGACCCAAAATTAAAAATCTAAATACACGGTTAGATTTGGCATATAGCCTAGTCAATTTAGCTCTAAAATTGCTCAACCTGCAACTAATTGCAACACAAGGTTTTTTTAGTGCAAATTATAATATAGACTTGTACTAACAACATACTAAAACTATACATTGATATAATTTGCGGAAAAGGTTAATTTGGGGTGAAATATGTGTTTTTTAGAGAAAAAATGCTGAAAACTGGAAAAGAAGAAAAATTGTTATTTATGGTTACATTTTTAGACCTAAAGCTTGTTGAAGACGGGAAACCTTACCTTAATAGAGTATTATGTAGTCCTCTAGTTATTATTATTATTCATAATGAAGTAATTTTGAGGTGAAATGAGTGATTTTTAGTGAAAAAACGCTGAAAACTGGAAACGTAGAAAATCTCCGTTGTTAATGGTTAATATTTTTGAAATTTGATCTATATAAAAAAAAGAACATACTATTTTATGTTTTATTTGTGAAGTCCTTTAGTTATCTATATCTATATTTTGGTAATTTTGGTTGAATATATGTTTTAAGACAGAAAACCCGGAAAACTGGAAATGAAAATATCTCGCTTATTGATGGTTAACACTTTCAAAATGGGATCTTAACAGAAAATAGAGAATACTATCTAATGTTTATCTTAAGGAGTCCTATAGTTATTAGTATTTAAAAAATGTCATTCTTGTGTAAAATGTGATTTGTAGAGAAAAATTGTGAAAATGGAAATAAAAAACTCGATTATTCATGGTTAAAACTTTTAACATAGGATCTTTATAGACAGAGGTTAAAACTTTTAACATAGGATCTTTATAGACAGACTATATTATCTTATGTTTATCGCATATGTATTCCTCTTGTTATCGATATCAATAATAATCAATTTGTTGTGTGAAATATTTTGTTTTACACACTAACTACAAAACAAGAATATATCCATAGTACACGGATGCCCCACCCGCACTATCATTTTCTATGTTCAGTGGACTCTGAAATTGGGTCAAAACTCTAATTTGGCATTAAAATTAGAAACATCTTATCATAGGGAACATTTGTACCAAGTTTCAATATGATTGGACTTCAACTTCATCAAAAAATACCTTGACCAAAAACTTTAAAAAAAAACTTTAATCTGAAGCATGACAGACGGACAAACGAACAGACGCACAGACAGAAAAACATAATGCCCCTAAGTGAGGGGCATATAAAATGAAAATTTTAAAATCTTGGTTATTTCTAGTTTGATTTTTAAAAACGAAAAATGGAGAATGGAAACAGGGAATGTGTCAAAGAGAAAACAAGGCCACTAATGGGTCTTTAACATAGCAAGTAAATCCGGCACACGGATGTGGGCTTCACCTGACCCCTTAATTATTTTGTACACTAGTTCAGCAAAGTGGACACCACCCTAAACTCCAGTACATACAAATGAACCAAAATTATCACCAAAAAAAAAACACACACAAGACAAACAAAGGCTAGAGGTTCCTGACTTGGGATAGGTGCAATAATGTGGCAGGGGTAAAACATGTTGTGTGAGAACTCAACCCTCCCCTAGTTTCTCTAGACAATATAGAATTAACAAACACACAGTCAAACTCAGTTTTAAATATGTGCATTTTGTGGAAGTTTGAAATTTTATCCTATGTTTCGGTTATGTATTTATAGTAATTATACGTGTAGGTATAATAAACAAAAAATGATTGTGTTAAAAAATAACTGCAAATCAGTTTGGTAACTGACTTTGATTTTGTCATGTAATTGTTGATTGCTGGAAAAGTCATTTTTCTAGTGTCCTTGCATCGTCATTGACTGTAGTCCTTTTTGTGTATTTTTTCATTAGCTACTTTTACAATATTTGAATTGCATAAAGTCACAGTTTAACACAGACGATGCGATTGCAGATTTCTCTTAATGTGTTGCTTATCTTATTTAGCAAGCTCTATCAATATCCACGTTTAATTTCAGATGTATAAGTTTTTTTAATTTAGGAACATATACTAGTTCACTGAATTAGCATTAAAAGAGGGGCAAAAGATACCAGAGGGACAGTCAAACTCATTGATCGAAAATTAAATGTAGATCTGAAATTGTTTAAGGCAATTTCAAGAGCAGCTTTATCAGTACGATTATAAGTTTACCTCAAGAGTTTGAATTTAGATAGTAATTGTACTAAAGTGGTCCAATTTTGGATGTTGAAAATGAGATAAGCACTGTTGAATGAATTAATGGGATCACTTCCTGGAGGAAGTGTTAATAGCAACAACGCCTTATGTCTGTACCCTATAAACATGCATGTATGTGGTGGTCTGAAACATCAACCAAATGGTAATGACAAAGAACTAACATGGGTTGTCTGCTATATGAAAATATTATGGTCAAAGATAATATATATACTTACTAGTATATAAAGAAAAGCATTACCAAGTTCTTTATTTAATATATCTCATTGAATTAATTTAATGAAAGGTAATCAGCTTTAGCCTAAGAACTGTAAAAAAAAATAACCATGCATCATCTGTGTATGAATTAAAATTTGTAGTGTCTGTGGGCGACTTTGATGGCCAGAGATAGCGTTTAGTTAGTCATGTCTAATCTGAAAGTATGTCTGTTGGTTTTTGTTAGTCGTTTGGGTTGCTTTCTCGTTGACTTTAAAAACCTCAAATCTCTCTTTATTCATAAATATACTCTATTACAGATATATCAATGTTAAAGACGCTGTTTTCTGCTTCCGGAATGCTGACCTGTATTCAACTCATTTGAACGAAACTATAAAAATATTTTAAAAAATAAAACCTCATGCCAAAAGAATATAAATGTTTAGCTTTTAAGGTCCACTAAACTCTATCAGTGATCTCTTGGTAGTAAGTTTGATCGCTTGCCAATGAAACCATCACTTATTATAAAGTCTCCCCACTTTAAAAACATAAGAAGATGTTGTATGATTGCCAATGAGAAAACTTTCCACAAGAGATACCAATGATGTGGGTGTGGATGTAAACAACTATAGTACATTGTCAAAATATAAAACAAGTCAAACGAGAAACTCAATTAAAGGCCTGATTAATGTTAAAACAATAAACGGAAAAACAAATATGACAGACACCAAACAATAACAACCAAGTAATAAATGGCCACTGAATTGTGATAATCATATTCATAGTGTGCAAGGTTAACCCTGTTTGCGAGCACTCAACCCTCCAATAATCAGGAACAGTTTTTATTTAGGGGCCGGCTGAGGACCACCTCCTGGTGCGGGATTTTCTCGTTGCGTTGAAGACCCATTGGTGGCCTTCGGCTGTTATCTGCTCTTGATCTGGTCGGGTTGTTGTCTCTTTGACATACAGTATTCCCCATTTCCATTCTCAATTTTATTTAAATAGCAAACAACGTAAAAACAAATTGTAAAACCCAGTTGGAAAGGGCTCAACTCAAAAAGACCAGCACGGAGTATATAACCAATTAACAAAAAGACACTGATTTATCATAGCTAGTTCAAAGCTTAGTAATTACAGTTAATAAATAAATACTATTGGCACCGAAAAAAATATACATCCTATTAGTAACCAAAGTGAAAAGTTGATTCAGTGTTACAGTCATAGCTTTATTTATATAGTGTGTGAGTACTGAGATCGTCGCAAATTACATGAGTAGCTATTTGCTTCGAGGAGCCTGAAATTTTCATTTGTGAAAAAATATTTAACATAAAATTATTTAACACTCATCATTCTTATTTTTTTATGAAACATTGTTGGATTCTAAATCTTAACATGTTTGTTCCAGAAGGTAAATGAAAAAAATATATTGTTTTCTTTCTAAAGTTGTGGAGAAAAAATACATTAAAGACATTGAATCTTGCAAATAACATTTTTTTTATAAAGAACAAAACATGTGTTTCTGGAACATAAAATAAACTGTCTGTGCCTTTAATACAGGGGCAGAATTGTTTCAAATACCCAGTAAGAATGTGACTAAGTAGGTTACTCTAATTCAGTATAGTTTTCCATTTATAGGTTACTTACCAACACTATTTTGGAGAATTAGATTCTTGAATTGTAAAATAGCAGAACACAATCTCGGTCTATATCTTTATTCAAATATACAAATTTTGAGACAGGAAAGTGATTCATTTGTAATATTATTCTTTTAAATTGAAATAATTATGTATTGTATTGTATTATTTCAACTGTTTTAAAAAATACAGAACATTTTTTTGTATAATTTTATTTTTTTCAACTTTGGCAAATAAGGGGAAGCAACTCATATAACCTTACTTTTACTACAAAACATTTTTATAAATTACACCACTTTCCGCAAAATAGATTTCTGTATAGTTTTAGTATGTTGTTCATAGATAGTAACAGACTTGTTTTTCAGAGAAAAACTTTGTGTTGCAATTAGTTGCAGGTTGTTCACTAAATTGACTAGACTAATATCAAAGAACCCCAATAATTAAATTTTTTATGAAATCAAACAAAGTTTAATTTTGGACCCTTTTGACCTCAATATGAACCAATTTGATAGCGGGCCCACAAATAAAAAATCTAAATACATGGTAAGATTCAGCATATCAAAGAACCCCATATATTCAATTTTTGTGGAAATCAAACAAAGTTTAATTTTGGACCCCAATTTGGACCAACTTGAAAACTGGGCCAAAAATCTAAAATCTAAATACATGTTTAGATTCAGCATTTCAAAGAACCCCATATATTCAATTTTTGTTGAATTCAAATAAAGTTTAATTTTGGACCCCAACTTGGACCAACTTGAAAACTGGGCCCATAATCAAAATTCTAAACACATGTTTAGATTCAGCATATCAAAGAACCCCAAGAATTCAATTTTTGTTAAAATCAAACTAAGTTTCATTTTGGACCCTTTGGACCTTAATGTAGACCAATTTAAAAACGGGACCCAAAATTAAAAATCTAAATACACGGTTAGATTTGGCATATCAAAGAACCCCAATAATTCAATTTTTGATGAAATCAAACAAAGTTTAAATTTGGACCCTTTTGACCTAAATATGAACCAATTTGATAGCGGGTCCACAAATAAAAAATCTAAATACATGGTTAGATTCAGAATATCAAAGAACCCCAAGAATTCAATTTTTGATGAAATCAAACAAAGTTTAATTTTGGACCCTTTTGACCTCAATGTGGACAAAGTTGATAACGGGGCCCAAAAATCAAAAATCTAAATACATGGTTAGATTCAGCATATCAAAGAACCCCATATATTCAATTTTTGTTGAAATCAAACAAAGTTTAATTTTGGACCCCGATTTGGACCAACTTGAAAACTGGGCCCATAATCAAAAATCTAAATACATGTTTAGATTCAGCATATCAAAGAACCCTAAAAATTCAATTTTTGTTAAAATCAAACTAAGTTTAATTTTGGACCCTTTTGACCTTAATGTAGACCAATTTGAAAATGGAACCAAAAATTAAGAATCTAAATACACGGTTAGATTCGGCATATCAAAGAACCCCAATAATTCAATTTTTGATGAAATCAAACAAAGTTAAATTTTGGACCCTTTTGACCTCAATGTGGACCAATTTAAAAACGGGGCCCAAAATCCAAAAACTTAATACACGGTTAGATTCAGCATATTAAAGAACCCCAAGAATTCAAGAATAAAACCCCCCTTGAAATTGATCAAGAAATAAGCAATTTATACGCAGTATCTTCTTTTGCACAATACTGTGCAATTGAATATTTCTTGCTATTGTGCAATACTGTACAATTGACAATTTCTTGCTATTGCGCAATATTGTGCTATTGGATATTTCTTGCTATTGCGCAATACTGTGCAATTGAAGATTTCTTGCTATTGCGCAATACTGTGCAATTGAAGATTTCTTGCAATTGTGCAATACTGTGCAATTGAAAATTTCTTGCTATTGCACAATACTTATTATATAATAATTTACACATCCTGTTTGGTGTGTATCTCCTACCATATCATTATTATTTGCTTTTAAATAATAATCAGAAATAACCAACTTAAAATGGAAAATTTTAAAAGAAAAAAAAAAGGAAAAAAAGAAAAAAAAAGAAAAAAAAAAAATCCCCCCCCCCAAATTTTTTGAACCCCCTTATGATTCATCACCCCCAAACTCAATCCCAGCCTTCCCTTTGTGGTATGGTACCTTGCAGTACAATTTCAGAGAGATCCATACACTTGAACACAAGTTATTGTCTGGAAACTAGAAAAATGCTTATTTTTGGCCCCTTTTTGGCCCCCAATTCCTAAACGTTTCAGGCAATTACCCCCAAACTCAATTCCAGCTTTCCCTTTGTGATGTGGAACCTTGTAGTACAATTTCAGAAATATCCAAACACTTACACACAAGTTATTGTCATGAAACTAGAAAAATGCTTGTTTTTTGCCCCTTTTTTTGCCCCTAATTCCTAAAATTTTGAGGCAATTACCCCCAAAATCAATTACAGCCTTCCCTTTGTGATATGGAACCTTGTGGTACAATGTCAGAGAGATCCATACACTTACACACAAGTTATTGTCTGGAAGTTACAAAAATGCTTATTTTTGGCCCCTTTTTGGCCCCTAATTCCTTAACTGTTGGTACCATAACTCCCAAAATCAATCCCAACCTCCTTTCGTGGTATTGAACCTTATGGTAAAATTTCATGGAGATCCATTCACTTAAACTAAAGTTAGAGTGCGAAAACCAATGTGTCTTCGGACGACGCCGGACGACACCAGACAACGACGACGACGACGACGACGACGACGCCAACGTCATACCAATATACGACCAAAAAATTTTCAATTTTTGCGGTCGTATAAAAAAGTGAACCCATAACTCCCTTAAAACTCATATCAAACTGACAATAGTGTATGGTCAAGGGAATATGACGACAATATGTTTTGGAAGGACAGACTACAGAAGAACAGATGGACAATGCTATTACCATATCCCTCGAGGAGGGAGTGCAGCAGGGGACAATAATCTCACCTTTACAAAACTTTGAAATGCACAAATGCACATGTTATTAAGAAATTGTAATTTGGTTCAATCAAATGTAAAACATAGGAGATTTTGAACTGACAAATGTAGAATAGGCAAACCTCAAATAGAAGAATGTGTCTGAGGACACGAATGCCCCCACTCAAGCTTTGCAATTTTCCAAGTTAAAAAGGGGCATAACTCCAGACTGGTAAATGACTTACTTCCCAAATTCGAACTTTGTGTGTTGTGGTTTTTAACATTGTGTATGAGTTTCATAAAATTTGGATGAGGCAAACTTAAGTTAAACAAAAATATTTCAAATTTTCCAAGTTATAAAGGAGTACAACTCTAGAACGGTAGGAAACTCGATCACTGCCCAAATTTAAACTCTGTCTGCGAGTTTTGATTCTTAGCATTGTGTATGAGTTTCATAAAATTTGCATGAGGCTAACTTATGTAAGAATGCGGAAATGAAAATGGGATGGAGGGAAGGATGGACGGATGGACAGTCAAGTGTAACACTTAAAAATTATTCTGCTCAAAACTAAAATGGTCAGAACTTCACATGGTATAAAGAACTTCTGTTGATTTTTATTCAGTAAATTGCAGAATATTTTGTTTTGGCAAACTTGCCCTTCTGCAGAAATGAAAAGTTCATGTTTTGCTAATCCCAATGTGAACAAATGACAAAGTACAATGTTTTGCTTTGAGCAAAAATGAAGTAAGAGGTGCACAACTACATGTGGTATGGGATAACTCTGCCAAGTTTCATTATATTCAAATATGTTAACTGCAGGAGATCAACAGAAAACCAGGCAGACCGATAAATGTTATGAGGAGCCAAAAAATATGTCATCATACATGAAAATACAGTATACTGTAAATTCAGAAATTGTTATGTGCATTTATTATTGAAATTTTAAGAAAAAGCTACATACAGATATATGTATCAGAAATCAGAATGAGAGTTCTTATTATTGCGATACTCACCCAGTCGCATTATTTGTATTTAATAAAAACCTTGCAATAATTTCTGACTTTACAGTACATAATGCTAAGCTTCTATACCAACCTTGTGAAGCCCTGCTTGATGATTAGTTTCATGCTTGTCTCTGTAAAAAAAGAAGAGAATTTCAACAAACCTTCACAATAAGCCAAAATAATAAATAGATTTCTCAATGACAGACTTAGGAAACAATAAAATTATAAATGGAAACTATTCTGTCAAGTAGCAGGTACATGTTGAAATTTTAAACTGATGGGCTATAACATTAAGCAGAGATTTGCCTGAGCTCGCATTTTTTTGCTGTTGAATTTTTTCTTTCTTACTGAGATTCAGTTGGTATCTGGCATAAAATAAAAGAAGAATGTGTCTAAGAACACGAATGCCCCTGCTCAAGCTTGCTTATAATATGTGAAAATACTTTTGGGATGGACAGAAGGACAGACAGAAAGACGGACAGAAGGAGGGATGGAAAGACAGATGGAGAAAAGGACAAACGGTCAAGGGTATCACTTAATTGATCTTTTTTCAATATTTGTTGCTGGTTCCTGTTTCATCTCCTCCAACAACAAAAATTAAAGAACAGGATTTATTGATTGATTGATGGATGCTTGCTTAATGTCAATTGGCAAATAGTTCATGTAATTTAAGGACAATGTATAAGGAGATATGATTAATATTACACTTGTGTGCTGAGCATTTCTACTTTAATCTCTGATGAATCACCCTTTATCAACACATTACAGGCCTAACAGCTCAGTCTTTCTTTTATCAAACTTGATCAACTTGCTGAGACAATAAACAATATTCAGGATTTGGTCAAAATTAAAATTAAAATTATGGATTTTGATAAAAGTTTTTATCAACAAAAGAAAACAGCTGATAACAGGCAAGGACGTATATTTTAGTTATACGTCCTTGTAACAGGCAAATCAGTACTAAAATTTCCGTGTGAATTCAATGTGTAGATCTGAGATTTGTTCCTATCCTTAAGTGTATAGAAAAATTTGATTCAAACAAACAGTATCTTGATATGTATTGAATAAACTAACGAGTAATTAGGATGAACAGCATGAGCCTGATCAGCACTAATCATATAAGATTTAGGTATGGCTTCTTCAAAAGCTGTCTGACTACCACCACTACTCAGACGACGTAATACAAGTTCCTGTAAAGTTGATGCTGCACCCTGGGCACTCTGTGATCCAACCTGTTAAAACAAATCGACTTACCCATAATAATTTATTGAGAAATTATGCATATTCAAAGATAATAACTGTTTGTTTCAGTTCTTTTATGTCTTTGATATAGCAGATTAAGTCTCTAGCAAATATTTTAACATAGAGCTATCAAATATGAAAACTTGTTCAAGGGTATGGAAAAATATCATATGTGCTAAAGTCACAATATAAATTGGAATTTAATTTTTTTTCTCACATCTAGTATAAATGGTAATACAAGGGAAGAATAGCAAAGACAATCCATAATTAAGCCAAATATACTAACCTCTTCATTATCAAACAAACATATCAGTCTGATGTTAGGATCTGACTTTAAACTACCATCAGTTTCTATCAATGCCTGGAATGAACAAAGACTAACTAAAGTTTCACTGTTAGGAATGAATGACAATGTTTGTAGAAGGACTTCACCGTTTATTTCATATATTAATCGATTAATTGATAGCTCCAACACATATGAAAGTGAATTACATATTTGATGACAACTTTTCCTTTTCATTTAACTTTAGGGTTTTTGCTTTTGACTCTCTGATGAAGACCTTCAAAAACTGAAAAGAGGAAGGACAACAATGAAAGAAACAGTTTCATCAATACTCATCTCCAGTTTAAAAAAAAAAATGAACTAATACTTGATGCAATTTTAACCATAGAAGTACAATGTAGGTTTCATTTATCTGAATTGCTGCAAAAAAGAAAGATGAGTTTGATCTGTGATAAACGAACTATTTTTAAAATGTGCTTTCAATTAAATTTTCAGTCCCATATGATCAATAAGAATTATAACAACCACCTACAGCAATTGTTTGCTTTATCACCGTAAACCTGAAACAAATATATATTGATGAAACCTTAAATTTATTGGGTTTTTAATCAAGAAGGATAATAAACACAAGTATTTAACCAATAATTAACATGCACTTTAATTCACAAAAAAGTACCAACCTCTACAGCTGTGTATGCATTCAGAAGATTGTCAAGTCGTGGAGCAAATATAAATTCATCCAATGCGCCACCTATAGCCTGCAGAGTGGAAAGTGGATTATAATGGAGAAAATAATGGCATAGAGAGACTAAAAATTCAATTAATAAATATCTTTAAATAAAAATGAAAATAATAAATAAATTTTATTAAATATAATTCAGAAAATAAATTTGAGGCTATTATTTTGAGATCTTCCACAACTGTAAAAAATATTTTTTCCACTTTTTGAGGAAAGTGCAACAGAATGAGAGCAAGTTAATCATACATTAAGAGTGATTCCCAATTCATCTACACATGCAGGTTGTTCTGTTTATCAAATGGCAGGAAATCATTGTATCTATTAGTTTTGTTAAAAGTGTTTGTCTATAACTGATAATAGTTTCACTCTTAAAATTTGACATGCCATAATTTACCATCTTACGATTAAGTTTCTTATCTGGTGAAGACAATATGCTTGATTCCAATCAATATCTTTCCGTCAAAGTATTTGGTTTTAAGTGATGTTATTTGACATCATTTGTGATTTTAATGGGCATAAAATCTGTATCAGTACTTTGAGCAAAGGGATGAATATCATTATGGGGATAATTTCCTTATGACTGCTTAGATAAATGTGTTAAATGATAAAATTAATATATTATTTTAACCAGGGTTGGATTCTGTACATAAGAATAAATATGGGTGTTTGAAAAATGTCAAGCAGTCACAATTACAAATCAGTTCAAAGGTGCAGGGATCCAGTTATCCCATAAAACATTTAAATGATGTTAGAAATCAGCATATAGTAAAAGAGTTTTTCTGGTAATGGAAATAATATGAATCAAACGTATTGCATTCCTGCATATTATGTAGTAAATAAAGCATGTTTGACTGGTGAAAAATTACTTTTTTCTACGTAATTTTATAAAAGTTTAAATTTTAAATCGAAATGGGTGATTGACTTTGCTGAATAGTTAGTAAATAATGAAATTTGTCATGGAATAGAATATTTTTATAACATAGGTTCTGAGCTTGATCATTCCTGTCAGGTATGAGATCACAGGTAAATAGTGATTAACAATCATTCGCCAACTGCTCCCAGGGGCATTAATATGGTAATTTGGAGGGCCTCCAGATTATCATACTATACTGGAGTGGCAGTTTTATTACCTGAAAAGCATTGCAAAACAAAATTAGTGCAAAATGGCTATTTAAAAGATCTGATCTCAATGAAACGACCAAAATTATTTCTGTAAAAAAAAAATTCAAACTTTTAAAGTCCTAATCTACCATTTGAGTCATGGACCTATCAGATTAGGTCAGGTCTGGCAAGTATGACCGTTTCCAGATCCTTGATGTGGTATGTTTGCCAATAAATAGCTATATCATCTGTAAAGTCTTATTCAATTCACCAAGGAGATGACTTACAAAATCTACTGAAAAACTTGTATCACATATGTTTAATCTGCTTACAAAAAACTTCTAATAGGAGTAAGAGGACTCATTTTCAACATTTTACTCCAAACAAAAATTATCAATGTGAAATGAAGACCACTTTCATTATTCAAAATAACTCTCTAAGATAAGCTAATGTCTTTCTTACCTGGCACTTTTAGTGTGATATTGTTTATAGGATAATGGTAATGTTTATTTCTAAATTCACCATGATCGCATTGGTTGGAAATGAAACGCAATATTCAACAATTTTGTAACAATAAAAAATTATTTGCAACCAAACAAGAGGGAGAAAGTTTTGAGTTCTAATGTTTCTGTTAATATAGATAGAAGATTTGGCCTTCCTGTTTGAACACACATCCCGTAAATTAACCCTTTCCTGTACTTACCGCTGGCTGAGTATCTGCTACACAAAGTTCAAAGTCCATCATCTGGTCAGGAGAAATGTTCAGTTCATCACATATTAGCTTTATTAAGGCAGGCTGGTGTTTATCACACTGAAATATTTCAAATTTATGTATGGTAAATAAAATTAAATTCTAACAAGAATGTGTCCAAAGTACACGGATGCCCCACTCGCACTATCATTTTCTATGTTCAGTGGACCGTGAAATTGGGATCAAAACTCTAATTTGGCATTAAAATTAGAAAGATCATATCATAGGGAACATGTGTACTAAGTTTCTAGTTGATTGGACTTCAACTTCATCAAAAACGACCTTGACCAAAAACTTTAACCTGAAGCGGGACGGACAAACAAACTAACGAACGAACGGACGCACAGACCAAAAAAACATAATGCCCCTAGGTGGGCATAAAAATGGGTTGAAGATTCAAATGACTTGGATGGAAATATATGGTTCGTAACTTGAAATGCAATCCTTAATTGGGTAAGGTAAATAAAATTTGCAATGTTTTTCCATCTGGAAAATCTGCAATTATTCTCGAAAATGTGAACACAAAGTGAAGTGAAATCAACATTCTACAAAAATTAAAGGTTGTATGTTAAAACTGTAAAGGGAGTCGATTGCACAAAATTGCTATGCTCTATCAATAATGTTGCTTAAAACTGACAAAGTTTGACTACCTAGAAAATCTGCAATAAACTCTATTAATGTGTTCACATAGTGAAGTGTACATCTTCAACACTCACATATATCGACACCTTACATTCACCATACTAAAGGCTGCATTTGCACCTTGTTCAATCCAATAAATGATGGAACAACTTAAAGATAATTCACTTTGTTAACAATACCAACATTTAGAAAAATCTCATTATTTCATGAAACCTGTGTTATATTGATAATTTTTTTATATATAAAGATTTAATTTATCACATCAGGCAGTAGTTATCTGCAAAAAATTATAGAGTCCATTTTAGAAAGCATGATCCACAGGTACTTTGTATGCATCCACAGTCAGGTACTTTGTATGTATCCACAGTCAGGTACTTTGTATGTATCCACAGTCAGGTACTTTGTATGTATCCACAGTTAGGTACTTTGTATGTTGCTTTTTTGGTAGTGAAACAAAAAGTTTATAATTAAAGGAAATTGTGATGTTTTCTATGACCCTTATAAATATGCATCTATATATTTTTTAAAGGTAAATTTGTAGAAACCATATCTATAATGTCTTTTAAATGTCTCGGTCAATGAGCTTTCAAACCCACCATTTTGCCTTTTCTTTAATAATGAATCAATTTACATTTTCAAACAGTAAAAATAAATCTGTACTTTACTCAATGGAGAGGTATGCAGGTATCACAATTTAAGAATGTATTCTATGACACCTTACAATACCATATATAAAATGCTCCTCAGGGTGCAGCTTGATACGACTGCAGATGTGGAACCCTGAAGTAGGGGCAAGTATGGACACAACATTCAAGCTTGATACAGCTCTGAATTTGGATTGTGTTAAAGGATGTTTGCTACTCTTGTTTTTTTAACTTTTTGTCAGATATTCGGAATCCTCTAGTTTGATCCATGGTAGTGACAATAAAAATTTTGGCTGCTAACCCCTACTTTCTTTTCATAATTTTATTACATATAGTTTAAAAAGCCATTTTTGAAAAATTTATTAAATCCTTGTTATTTTTTCATAGTATTTGAAAGAAAAAAGGTGCTAATGTTAAATGTATGAAAAATCCAGAGAGAATCATTTCCCGCCAAATTTTCAATGGCTTATATCTCAAAAACAAGCACATGGACCCTACATTTTTATCTGCTTTTTAAGTTCCTTTATTTATATACTATCAATTTATAACAGCCTTTTAAAAAGCTTGTTATTTTGAAACAGAGAAGCCAACATCCTTAAATATTTAAATAAAGATTTCTGACACAGAATGAATGTGGTCTAAGAACTTCAAAATTTGAAATTGGACATTTACCTATTATGGTCCAATATCCAAAATCACAATACATGGTTAGATTCAGCATACCGGTATCAAAGAACCTGAAGGATTCAATTTTTGATGAAATCAAACAAAAGTTTAATTTTGGACCCTTTGGACCTCAAATCAAAAATCTTAATACAGGGTTAGATTCAGCATATCAAAACAAGAATGCACATGCTGAAATGTCTTGCCTTCTTTACTGACCATTGATTTTATGTTGAAAGTCCTAAATATAAAGCTTTACTAAAGTATCACATAAACTTAACATGATCCAAGAAAATGAGGTCAAGGTCAGATAAACCAAACCGGATATACATGTACACCTTACAATGTTTCAATACACCAAATATAGTTGACCTATTGCTTATACCGGTAGTTTCTAAGAAACAGACTTAAACAGGAAAACTAAACATTGACCAATGAACCATGAAAATAAGGTCAAGGTCAGATGAACCATGCCAGACAGACATGTACACCTTACAATCAATCTATGCATTAAATATAGTTGACCTATTGCTTATAGTATCTAAGAAACAAACTTAACCATGAAAACTTTACATTGACCAATGAACCATGAAAATGAGGTCAAGGTCAGATGATACCTGCCAGACAGACATATACACCTTACAATCATTCCATACAACAAATATAGTTGACCTATTGGTTATAGTTTAAGAAAAACAGACCAAAACACAACAAGAGTGCACACGCTGAAATGTCTCGCCTTCTTTACTAATCATTGATATTATGTTGATAGTCCTAAATATAAAGCTTTATTACAACTGTCACATAAACTTAACATTAACCAAGTAATCTAAACATTGACCAATGAACCATGAAAATGAGGTCAAGGTCAGATGAACCATGCTAGGCAGGCATGTACAGCTAACAATTCTTCCATACAACAAATATAGTTGACCTATTGCTTATAGTTTAAAACAAGAGTGCACACGCTGAAATGTCTCGCCTTCTTTACTAATCATTGATATTATGTTGATAGTCCTAAATATAAAGCTTTATTACAACTGTCACATAAACTTAACATTAACCAAGTAAACTAAACATTGACCAATGAACCATGAAAATGAGGTCAAGGTCAGATGAACCATGCTAGGCAGGCATGTACAGCTAACAATTCTTCCATACAACAAATATAGTTGACCTATTGCTTATAGTTTAAGAAAAACAGACGAAAACACAAAAACTTAACACTGAGCAATGAACCTTGAAAATGAGGTCAAGGTCAAATAAAACCTGCGTGACTGACATATAGATCATAAAATATTTCCATACACCAAATATAGTTGAACTATTGCATATAGTATTAGAAAAAAAGACCAAAACTCAAAAACTTAACTTTGACCACTGAACCATGAAAATGAGGTCAAGGTAAGTTGACACCTGCCAGCTAGACATGTACACCTTACAATCATTCCATACACCAAATATAGTAGACCTATTGCATACAGTATAAGAAAAACAGACCAAAACACAAAAACTTAACTATAACCACTGAACCATGAAAATGAGGTCAAGGTCAGATGACACCTGCCAGTTGGACATGTACACCTTACAGTCCTTCCATACACCGAATATACTAGACCTATTGCTTATAGTATCTGAGATATGGACTTGACCACGAAAACTTAACCTTGTTCACTGATCCATGAAATGAGGTCGAGGTCAAGTGAAAACTGTCTGACGGGCATGAGGACCTTGCAAGGTACGCACACACCACATATAGTTATCCTATTACTTATAATAAGAGAGAATTTAACATTACAAAAAATCTGAACTTTTTTTTCAAGTAGTCACTGAACCATGAAAATGAGGTCAAGGACATTGGACATGTGACTGACGGAAACTTCGTAACATGAGGCATCCATATACAAAGTATGAAGCATCCAGGTCTTCCATCTTCTAAAATATAAAGCTTTTAAGAAGTTAGCTAACGCCGCCGCCGCCGCCGCCGTAGCCGCCGCCGCCGCCGGATCGCTATCCCTATGTCGAGCTTTCTGCGACAAAAGTCGCAGGCTCGACAAAAAACAGACGAAAACACAAAAACTTAACACTGAGCAATGAACCTTGAAAATGAGGTCACCTGCCAGCTAGACATGTACACCTTACAATCATTCCATACACCAAATATAGCTGACCTATTGCATGCAGTATTAGAAAAAAAGACCAAAACTCAAAAACTTAACTTTGACCACTGAACCATGAAAATGAGGTCAAGGTCAGATGACACCTGCCACCTAGACATGTACACCTTACAATCATTCCATACACCAAATATAATAGACCTATTGCATACAGAATAAGAAAAACAGACCAAAACACAAAAACTTAACTATAACCACTGAACCATGAAAATGAGGTCAAGGTCAGATGACACCTGCCAGCTAGACATGTACACCTTACAATCATTCCATACACCAAATATAGTAGACCTATTGCATACAGTATAAGAAAAACAGACCAAAACACAAAAACTTAACTATAACCACTGAACCATGAAAATGAGGTCAAGGTCAGATGACACCTGCCAGTTGGACATGTACACCTTACAGTCCTTCCATACACCGAATATACTAGACCTATTGCTTATAGCATCTGAGATATGGACTTGACCACGAAAACTTAACCTTGTTCACTGATCCATGAAGTGAGGTCAAGGTCAAGTGAAAACTGTCTGACGGGCATGAGGACCTTGCAAGGTACGCACATACCAAATATAGTTATCCTACTACTTATAATAAGAGAGAATTGAACATTACAAAAAATCTGAACTTTTTTTTCAAGTAGTCACTGAACCATGAAAATGAGGTCAAGGACATTGGACATGTGACTGACGGAAACTTCGTAACATGAAGCATCCATATACAAAGTATGAAGCATCCAGGTCTTCCATCTTCTAAAATATAAAGCTTTTAAGAAGTTAGCTAACACCGCCGCCGCCGCACCGCCGCCGCCGGATCACTATCCCTATGTCGAGCTTTCTGCGACAAAAGTCGCAGGCTCGACAAAAACTAAACACTGAGCAATGAACCGTGAACATGAGGTCAAGGTCAAATAAAACCTGCCAGACCGACATGTACATTGTAAAATATTTCCATTCACCAAATATAGTTGACCTATTCACATAGTATTAGAAAAAAGACCAAAACACAAAAACTTAACTTTAACCACTGAACCATGAAAATGAGGTCAAGGTCAGATGACACCTGCCAGTTGGACATGTACACCTTACAATCATTCCATACACCAAATATAGAAGACCTATTGCTTATAGTATCTGATATATGGACTTGACCACGAAAACTTAACCTTGTTCACTGATCCATGAAATGAGGTCGAGGTCAGATGAAAACTGTCTGACAGGCTTGAGGACCTTGCAAGGTATGCACATGTTAAATATAGTTATCCTATTACTCATAATAAGAGAGAAATTAACATTACAAAAAATCTTAACTTTTTTTTCCAAGTAGTCACTGAACCATAAAAATGAGGTCAAGGACAATGGACATACGACAGTCTGAAACTTCATAACATAAGGCATCTATATACAAAGTATGAAGCATCCAGGTCTTCCACCTTGGAAAATATAAAGCTTTTAAGAATTAAGCTAACATGGACGCCGCCGCCGGATCACTATCCCTATGTCGAGCTTTCTGCGATAAAAGTTGCAGGCTCGATAAAAAACCAATAAATTAAATTTTTGATGAAATCAAACAAAGTTTAATTTTGGAACCTTTGAACCTCAATGTAGACTAATTTGATAAAAGGGCCCAAAATCCAAAATCTAAATACATGATTAGATTCAGCATATCAAAGAACCCCAATATTTCAATTTTTGTTGAAATCAAACAAAATTTAAAGTCATATGAAACCAGATTTTAAAAAAAAGTTGAAGATGTTTTAAATACTTGAATGGCTAAGTTTTACTATATAACACGTGTTCTAGAACCTTCTTATAAAAATAAAATACCACATAACAACTGTGACATCTACCTTCAAAACACACATGACTTAAAAAAAATGGTTATAAAAAAAATTTTGACAGCTCCTGACTAAAATCAATTGAACAGATACAATCATTGATAGACTATCTATAAATAAACTTATTAATTACACCATTTCTGTTCAAAGGGAAATAACTCAATCATATAATAAATATCACTTTTGGCTACTGAAAGGTCTACAACTCAACAATGAGAAAAGCTTAAATCGTGAAAATTGAACTTGACCTTCATTTAGTCACAGGAAACAACATATGTAAATTAAAAAAATTTCATCAAAGCGTAAATTAGCTTGCGATCAACAATCAATGAATGAAATTATTATTTGTCGATAAAACGTTATAGATTCATAATAAATGTAAATGTAAATGTAAAAAAACGTGCAATCAAGACTTAGTTTAGCATATATGCATGCATTGGTTCAATATTATCGTTAACATTATAATTACAAGAAACTCCTTTCCTATGACTTTATTTTTGGATCCCAATTTGGACCAATTTGAAAACTGGGCCCAAAATAAAAATATTAATACATTTTTAGATTCAGCATATCAAAGAACCTGAAATTTTTGGACCCTTCGGACCTCAATGTGGACTAATTGTTAACCAGGTTCAAAATAAAAAATCTAAATACACGGTTAGATCAGGGCTTCCAAAATGGTCGTATTGACGGACTTGACTGTTAAATTATATATTTGACTTGTTGTGTGGAGCCTGAACCGGACATCTAACGTAGGATTGCCATTTTAAAATAATTCAGAAAAAAATTGAAGTTTATGCGATCTTTTTGACCTTTTTTTTTAAAAACAGCACACATTTCGAGTCATAAAAGTGACATGATGAATATATACTATCAAAACAAACCCTACTTTAATACCCTCTCATTACAATCAATGCTAATTAGTTGTCTGACAGCTGAAATGTACCTGTTCAATTTAGTCAAAATGATGTAGATTATCAGAAATACGTATATAAATATAATTTGATGAAAAATTTAAAAATTTGTAAGCTAAAATTTGTCAGTACCACTTTACTTAAACTACTAGTACATGTGTGCGCATGTGGGCAAGTGTGAGCTTTAATTATGCATCCACATTTTTCAAAAATGCTAAAATTATCATGGATACCTTTATCTAATGTTCATTTCGAGTATTTTCCTGAAGAAATAACTTGGAAAGAGATACTTAAACTCAATCGTGCTTGGTAAACGTACACAGATTTTACTTATCTGTCAACATCCGGTATTAGAAAAATGTGTTTTCTAAAATCGAAAGCAAAGTTGTTGACAGCGTAATTTTCACAAATAAAGAGTCTTAGGTAGATATAAGTATGCTGTTGTTGCACATTTCGAATGATGCATTGTCAATTGAACAGTTTTCGTCAGAACATCGAATTTATATCAAAAGTCAAGTTTAAAATCGTTCTTGTGTCAATCATTGTTTATATGATGCCCAACTGATTAAAATGCTTGCCTTTTGTTACTTAGTCTAAAGGGATTGAAATCGGGATAAGACAAAAAAATGTCCAGCTGGCTCAAATATTTTTTGGAAGCCCTGGGTTAGATTCAGCAAATCAAAGAACCCCAAAAATTCAATTTTTATTGAAATCAAACAAATTTTAATTTTGGACCCTTTAGACCTCAATGTGGACCAATTTGAAAAAGGAGCCTAAAATTAAAAATCTAAATACACTGTTAGATTTGGCATATCAAAGAATCCCAATATTTCAATTTTTGATGAAATAAAACAAAGTTTAATTTTGGACCCTTTGGACCACAATGTGGACCAATTTGAAAACGGGGCCCAAAATCCAAAATCTTCATACACGGTTAGATTCAGCATATTAAAGAACCCCAAGAATTCAAGACTTTCAATTAAACCCTACTGAAATTGGTCAAGAAATAAGCAATTTATACAAAATTAGAAAAGTATTGTTTTTGGCCCCTTTTTTCCTAAATGGATAGGGCCATAACCCCCAAAATCAATCCCAACTTTCCTTTTTTGGTATGGTATCTTGTGGTATTATTTCAAAGAGATCCATAGACTTACACTCAAGTTATTGTCTGGAAACCAGAAAATCCTTGTTTTATGGCCCCGTATCCCTAAACAGTTTGGGCCGTAACCCCAAAAATCAATCACAACATTCCTTTTGAGGTATGGAACCTTGTGGTACAATTTCATAGAGATCCTTAGGAGTATAACCCCCAAAATCATTCCCAACCTTCATTTTGTATTATGGAACCTTGTGGTACAATTTCATAGAGATCATACTCTAATATTCAAGTTATTGTCTAGAAACCAAAAGTCTTCGGTTGTCAACGACGATGACGACAACAAATACTTCGTACCATTATATGACTCCAAAAAATGTTTGTGGCCGAATAAAAAATATTGTCACACAACATATCTACCTGTTTTTCCTGACCTTCAGGTTTCTTGTCATCTTCCTGTTTGTTACCTTGTAACTCTAACTGTACAGACGTAGCTAGTACTGGACATCTACAAAGTATAAGAAATAACAAAATGTCACAACACATAAAAACTTAGGAAAAATAGATGTATTGACTCAGTTAAGGTAAAACAATCAATGTCTTTATATTTTGTTTCATTGGGTTACTGATTCATTGACATGTACCAAACATATCTTTATATTCAGTAAAGGCAAAACAATTGTACACAAAAAAGAAAGACTCATAGACTCAAATGGCTAAGTTGCAATAAATATGGTTTGTTTTTGAAAAACCACATAATATTGATACCATAAATATTTGATATGGTAGTAAGGATAAGTAATATATACTGATTCCTATAAATAAGAATACTTAAAGAACACTAGTATCCCAAGGCTAAAACAGATAAAAACAAACCTTCAAATGTATACACTGAGAAGCACACCTTCAATACACATATATGATGCAGTCTAGTGTATCCGTGCACCTAAGACTTTTAGCTTCACTTTGGTAATCTCATAAAACCAATAATCGGATAATATTGTGTGAACAAATTCATGACATACTTTAATTTCATGAAGTCTTCTTTATGTATGGTTTCACCCTTACAATTTTATGTTATGTTTGTCCAAAATTAGGGAAACCCCTGTTTTGACAATTCTTCAAATGTCTGGTGATTTCATGCATGCTTTCTAAAAATAGCTTATTTATTGCGAACCAAATGATACTTTTCCACAGATTCACCTGCAAGTTACCTGTCGATTTAAACTTTTGTAAATTCTTTTGTCCCATCTAATAAATACAATAGCTATTGTTCTCTGTGTAGTTTATTTGATGGGACCTTTAAATTTCTTCCAAGAGAAATCTATCTCTCACTGATTAATTTACCTGAACAAAAAAAATTGAACTGTGAAAAATGAAAATACATGTACAAATACTAAATAAGGTCTCAAAAAAACTGTATGTGGTGTTGTATTTATTCAATATCAATAATTCATTTTTAATAGTTTCAATATAAACACTGATTCACAAATTAAAAGTTGATTTCTGAACAATTTTTTTATATTTTCCCTATTAAAATTTGCTTTTCTTTGTGTGTTTGACAAATAAAAACTTGAAAATTATTGTATTTAAATTAAGGTCTTGATAAATGTATTCTATAACTGAACAACAACAAAAACATGCAAATTCATTGGAACAATACTAAAAATTTTGTTAGAAATAAACTTTTTATAATTAAATCAGTGTTTATATTGAACAGATTGAAAATATATTATTGATATTGATTAAATACAATATTGCATGCAGTTTATGCGAGTTTATACAACTATTTCCCCCAAAAAAGAAGATAATTTTTTGGTCAGGTAAATTAATCAATGAGTGATAGATTTCTCCTAGAAGAAATTTAAAGGTCCCAGTGAAAAAACTACACAGAGAACAATAGCTATTGTATTTATCCAATAGGACAAGAGAATAGACAAAAGTTTAAATACCATGGTCAAGAGCAGACGACTCTGTGGAAGACTTTCATTTGGTTCGCAATAAAATACAGGAATGATTTTATACTATGAAATATAGTTCAATTTGAACCAAACAGATTGCCAAGGATGAGGAGAAAAATTTATTTCATTTTGATAAAAATTTGACCTAAAATTACTAAACCAATTTTATCTGATGGTGAAATTTTTTTTAATGGAAAATGGCTAAATATGGTTTATCATGGGATTGCAATTATAAATTTATGCATTAACTCATCAATTTTAATCTTTTTTGTCCCTTCAAAAGACTAAAACACTTACAAGAATGATTCTATTTGTATTACATGGCGGATATGACGAAATCAGGTAATGCGTGATATCACCGGCCGCGCAAACACAGGGGATTCCACTGCACACATATTAAAGAAATTTGAAAGCTATGGTTTGAAAAATAGGAGGTGTGTAGAACACAAAACAAAATGCATTTTTAAAGCAGATTTAAAAGTTTTAGTTTCTTTTGAAACAAATATTTTTGGAAGACAGAGCATGAAAACATTTGCCCAATACATTAAAGAAATTTAAACTTTAGATTCTGTGCTGTTGACCACCATTCCTGTAAATTCTAAAATAAGACTTTAGCAATAACGGACTTAACATACACTTGTGACTCTTTGTTTGGACCAAACTTTTCATTATGATCTCTCATCAAATGGATAGCAATATGTGGTACTCTGAGTATAGGTTTCTGTATATGGACCAAACGATGTTCTATACTACCATTGTTCTGAAGAAAAAAAATATGTGCCGAGGAAAAACACAAGTGAACAAAGTTTACCCTTTTAAAGGAATGTTGACAGAGTAAACAGATTTTCAAATTCAATTATTTATCATATGAAAGAAATGAATTAAAAATATTTGGTACAAATTTGTATTTTTCAAAGCTTAAAAAACAGATCACTACACTTACTTATAAATTCAGAATGCAAATTACTGGATAAAAAGTTCCTTTAAACATATTATGTAAATTTTTGGAATAAAGAAATGAATCATACTCTTTTGTACATACCAAATTCTTTTAAACTTAATTAACAGATCATTACACTCACTTAGAACTCAAAATACATATCATAGGTTAAAATAAAGAAATTCTTCAGTCTCTTGACTCTCTTCATACCTTAACTAGTACTCTACCACCGACAGTCAGGTCTCTGTCAAACCATGTATGCCAGATACCACCTCCATAACACTCCACACCAACCATGGCATAACCAGATTTGTTGGTCTTAGATTTTGGTTTTACCTATTATTTATAAAAAACACTATATGTTAATGATTAAAAACTTTGTAATATCTAAAGATGTAATACATAATGACTGTAGTACTGCATACTTCATTGCAAGGTAATCATACTTATCTTAAGAACTGCACTGTTGTTAACATAAAGATAAGCAAAAAGAACTTTGGATATAATATATGATTCATGCAAATTATTTCAGTCTCTTATATACCACAAATCATTTCATCCCAAAATTAGTAAACACTTGTGCTGTTAATCTTTGATGTTAAAACATCTACGCAAGTGAACCAACACCTTCATAACATTACACCCCTTTCCAAGATTGCTGATCCATTCTAGAAAGAAAACGATTAACTACCACACACAAAGTCCAAAGAAGATTACTGCAAACCGGAATGAACCGCAGAACCACACGACATTATTTTCAAAATGAACTTCGGTGTGAGCCAAGGCTTCCGTGTTGAAGGCCGTACTTTGACCTATAATGGTTTACTTTTACAAATTGTGACTTGGATGGAGAGTTGTCTCAATGGCACTCATACCACATCTTCTTATATCTATTGAAACATGGATAGTGTATCATAACTGCAAATACCATACAGATTAACCGCAATTTCCACAATGCCCTACATGTGCGACTACCATACATCCCACACTATTCCCGATGCAATTGGAAGTAGTACCTCATTCAGAGTGAATCCAGTTGAAATGGTACTTAATGTCCAGTGAGGTATCGTCCATTTTGGGAAAGATACTGACAATTCATTATTAACTTTTACTTTCACTTTCATTTTAACGTTGTCAAACAAATAATTGTGATGTAACGTCTTGTCAACCTTTTTGTAACCCCAAATGAACCACATTCTATGTACTTCAGCATTTGTTTCCTATCATTAAATTGTCCTGAATACGCCACCGTAAGTGGCGAAACATGTAGACCAGAACAAAGCATTTCCTTGCAGTTATCCATGATGTTGTTGTCTTTTTATAGTTTTATTTTGATGTTAAAAGATTAATAAAAAAAAATCATAATGTTATGATTGAGACATACAACACAAGCATTATAATATTAAATATTAATATAATTATAATTAAATTCAGACAATTTTTAAAAAGAGATTAAACAGTAAACTCATTATCATACACAAAATTTTTGCAGTAAAGTTAAAAAGTTCTAAACATAAATAAATGGTAACCCAGTGGTAAAATTCATGAAAATGGTAGAGTTTATTACAAACACGGGATTACATATTAAAGCAATTTTTCTCTCTAATATGAGAAATATTAAAATGAGAAAACCTTATTTATGGCCAAATACTTTGAGCTTGCTTTCAGTAACTGCAAGAATTGTTTGATATGGTATTGCCTATTATTGTTTTATTTGCACTTGTGATTTTGTAAGGTATTATAAAGTTTTGTATTTCCTATTCTGATTTCCAGTATATGTTCTTTTATGTACATTTTGTTTGTAAATTGATTAAGATTTTTAAAAAAAGGGAGAATTGAGATCTCAAATAACTGTGTGAGTTCCAAGTCCGTAATCTTGTCTCACTCATTTGGTGTGGATGGCAGCTCTTGGGTGGTCTCTGTTAAATTCATTCTCAATGGTTTGTAGACTCAGGTGATTGAGAGCTCAACATATTGTATATAGACATCTGTCAATTGTTGAAGACTGTATGTTAACTCTAGATGACTTTGTATATAGACATCTGTCAATTGTTAAAGACTGTATGTTAACTCTAGATGACTTTGTATATAGACATCTGTCAATTGTTAAAGACTGTATGTTAACTCTAGATGACTTTTGATTATTTGTGTCATGACCATGATTACGTTGCAGTTTCATTGACCTATAACGGTCCTTTATTTTTATCCATAATACATGTACTCGCGGAACAGACATTACCTCAGATTTAAACTAAAATCATGTAAAAGTGTGTCATGTCACTCATGTGGCATGTCTTTGTAAAATATATATTTTTTAACTCATTTTACGTATATCTATATACAATTTCTTTTACTACATTAAAATCTAATCTATACAAACCTTCAGACATGGACTATCTGTATGAGCCCCAACTATACTAAACCCATTTCCTGGTTTGAAATTTCCTCCCACAGCAAAGGCAATAATGGTTGATTGGTTCCTTGTCAGGAAATACTGAAAATTATTTTCAATTTATTAAATCATGTTAAAAAATTTTGCTTTATGGAAATTTTGAATAAAATGATATATGTCATACCATAAAGTGATATACTTAATCTTTGAAGACTATATTGACCTCTAGATGTCTGTTGGTCATTGGATTTTAGACTCAGGCAGCTTAACATATTGCATTGACACCTGTTAATCTTTGAAGACTATATTTACCTCTAGATGTCTGTTGGTCATTGGATTTTAGACTCAGGCAGCTTAACATATTGCATAGACACCTGTCAATCTTTGAAGACTATATTGACCTCTAGATGTCTGTTGGTCATTGGATTTTCCTACATAGCTCTCATTAATGTAAATCCCACCTTTTATTCATATCAACAATTTTTAATGACTATTTTAAAATATTGTAAAAGCCATACATTTAAAATCACATTTAGATCCTGATTCAAACAACTCTCCTCCCAGTTAATCAAATGATTAAATAAAATAAAAACTTCAAAGCTTTGTTCAACAGTGGAATCTTATTAAAGGATATTAAGTTAGGCGATGTAGTGTATCATCATCATACAGATGTTTTAGATGCTGATATGACATTTATAATCTGCCGATAAATAAATAGGTGTAATCTTTGATAGGGACTACCATATAATCATTTCTTAAAGGAATGCAATTTTGGTCAATTTAAGTATTAAATAGATATAAGAAGATGTGGTATGAGTGCCAATGAGACAACTCTCCATCCAAGTCAAAATTTATAAAAGTAAACCATTATAGGTCACAGTACGGTCTTCAACACGGAGCCTTGGCTCACACCGAACAGTAAGGGCCCCAAAAATTACTAGTGTAAAACCATTCAAACGGGAAAACCAACAGTCTAATCTATATAAAAAACGAGAAACGAGAAACACTTATGAACCACATCAACAAACGACAACTACTGAACATCAGATTCCTGACTTAGGACAGGTGCAAACAAATGCAGCAGGTTTAAACGTTTTAATGGTACCAAACCTTCACCCTTTTTCTGAAACAATAGCGTAACATCACAACATAGAAAGACACACTATAAAATATCAACTGAAATAGCTTAACTCAATCAAAGGACATATTAACACCATTGAACATACACTGAACAAATAAATTTGACCTATGATACAATGTAAATACAAAATAGATAAACTAAAGGAAGAATAATAAAAGTAACATGTTATATCGGTATGAAATGTTAAACAATTAAAGAAAAACAATATGCTCGAACAAAAATATCAGCCATTTGCAATAACTTTAAACAAAGGTAAATGAAAATAATTTTATTGTTAGGTATACGTGTACAGTTCCAATAGAGAAAGGAAATATTTTTACAAAATAAATAATTTTGATGTTCATAGTACGAAGTGAAAATTTATAGTAATACCAAACACTTATCAAAGCTGGTATATCTAGACCAGATATAACCCTGAATAACATTAAATAACAAAAAAGCAATACAATTAGTATCAACAGGTCAAATAAACAAGAAAGTACGATTTGAGAGTACTCGCAGTTACTGACAGCTAGTTAAAAGCCAAAACAATTAATAATAAAAAATCATGCATCAGAGACTAAAATCAACTAAAACACATCCCAGGGATTTAGTATTTTAACGTCATGGACAGTCAAAGAAGACATGACTAGTGCAATGCCAAAAATAAATGTATCGACAGACAGTAGGATGCTTAGGATATGTTATATTTTTAGTAATATACAATTTTTGTTGCCTGCTTTTTTCCAATCATGGCTAATACAACTTCAATATAGTCAATATTTGTCAAGAAGTTTCAGAAAGTTGTTTTGTTACAATATAAAAGAATGTTGATTTAGTAGATACCTTATCTAGAGGTTGTATTGTCCATGGATCTGTTTCCCTAAGTTCCTTGTAACCAGCAGCTACCAAAAGTTTCTTCACCTCATCAACAGCTGTCAATAGATGTATTACATTATTTCTCAAATTCAGTACATCATTATGATTCATATGTCATATATATGTTCTTGTATTTAAATGATGAATTGATTCAGTCCATTTAAATGATATTTTTTTTTGTATTTTAATGATAAAATCAAAGAGTTGAATCATTCAGAATTAAAATTAAAATGTCTAAATTGTATCTTTATTAAATGAACTACTAATAATATGATTTGGTCAGCAGGTCTCCATCAGTTTCTTACCCAATTTACTTGGGAAATGTTGTCATATTAGTCTCTTTGTAGTGAAAAAATTGTTGTCGAACTCAATTTGAGTAAAAAAATCAGTTGTGATGAAAATTAAAATTAATCAGGGTTATTCCATTTAAATAAACTGTATACATGTACCTACAGAAGGCAAAAATTAAACTGATTCAACACAAACTCAAAAGGGTTTTAAAGTTAGAGCTGAAACAATTTTTGAACATATGCACACGGATAAATTTTTTACCATGACCTTCACTCTACAGTTTTCTTCCTTGTTAGTGACATATTTTCTTGAAATCATGAATAATCATGTCAAGTTTCAATATCTAGTTCTAAGGGATTTAAAGTAAGAGAGTGGAATTAATTATTGTATATATGCACAGGGTTGATTTAGGTGACCAAGTTTTTTACCATGTCTTTTACTTCCTTGTACATGTATGTGACACACCTTGTGGGCCTTCATGCTGAATATTTTACCACAAGTGGTATCGAGCATAAAGGGCCAAACAGTGGTAAAATCAGTAATAAATTCAAGCCCCATGAATCATTTCTATTCTATTAGGACAAATACTGCAATTCTTTTGGATTGAAGCACTCTAGGTGAAGGCAAATATTTGCTGTTCTCGCAATTAAACACACTATAAATATTGATGTAAAAGACGAAGAAAAATGAATTAGTGACATGCTTCAATGATTTACAATAACATACTTAGACAGGTTTGGACGAAGCTGAAGGATTATCTTACTTTTATTTAAGAAAACTGGCTTTCAACAAATTTTTATTATTGTTTGTTTATGTTTCCGTGTTTTCATGACTTTCAGTTTCACATTTGTGCATTTCCCCATAGAATGCTAATATTCTCAGGTCATCGTCAGGCATCGGTGGCAGAGTGGTCTAAGTAGTCAAACTAATGTATCACTAGCCTGTCAAGACTGAGGTTGTGAGTTTGAATCCCTCACGTGGCAGGTTAGCTCGACTCCAATCTTAATTGACTTGGATTGTCAGTTTTCATACCGAAGGTCTGTGGTTCTCTTTGGGCACTATGGCTTCCTCCACCAATAAAAACTGACCGCCATGAAATAGCACAATAGTGCTGAAAGTGGCGTTAAACACCAATCAATCAATCAATGACGTCATTTACACAGATTAACCTCGGGTAACTCATTGATCATGGAATGGTGATGGACACTTTATAACAAAGGAAATAAAACTGTTCAATGTTAACCTGACACCTTTATAGGCTGGAACAACTTACCATGGAATGATGGACACTTGTTAACAAAGGATACAAATTTTTGTGTTAACCTGACACCTTGATAGGCTGGAACAACTTACCATCGAATGGTGATGGACACTTGTTAACAAAGGAAACTGTTTATGTTAACCTGACACATTGATAGGCTGGAACAACTTACCATGGAATGGTGATGGACACTTGTTAACAAAGGAAATAAACTGTTTTGCTGCCCCTAATACTTTATCTGTGGCTGCCTGATATTAAAAAAAGTAAAAGAAATTATTGTATTTATTGACTAGCAAAGGTGTTATGAGTTTAACATGAATATTTATTTACAGATTTTCATTAACCTAAGCTCATTTTTTAATATAAGTGTTGCATTGGTGTAAAGATTAGGGCAGGATAAGTTTTTTTGTTCTGTTTTTGAATCTTAGTTGTACATGTTGTACTGGATGGAGTAGTTGTAAGAAAAATGTACATGCTTCATATTATTCTAACTTGAACAACAGTTTACATATCAGTCAGGGGTAATACTTATACAAGTCATTTTTGTTTACTTAAAGACGTAAGTAATATTTACTTTTATAAGTAAATTTGTAAGATTTTTATTTTATTTTCAAGGTTTGAATTATCTCCCCTTAATCTTCTCCAAAAATTTACTTATACAAGTAATTTTTTTTAACAACCCCTTAAATTTCTCAAGTTTTGGGAGGTCAAAACATACCTAAACAGAATTTTTCTGGTTTGCTAATTAATTTTCAATAAGAGTTCAACCTTTTATCTCAAGAACTAAGCAAAGAAATCCATTGCGCAAAGATGTTAAGTAACTGCGCAAGGCTTTCAAAAATTGCGCTCTGGAGGCTTGTAAATGAGCAGTATTTTGAAGATAACAGACAAATGAGATTTTCATTGTCCATAATATTATACTTAACTTTAATTAATAGTAAAGACAACTATTAATGACAGACAATTAAACACTCTATTAGAGTGATGTAGTTAAGAGAAATTCAAGAGTACTTGGAAGAAAATAAGACTTTTTTACTTGTATAAGTAAAAATAAAATGCTCCGCAGGGCGCAGCTTGATACGACCGCAGAGGTCGAACCCTGAACAGTTGGGGGAAGTATGGACACAACATTCAAGCTTGATACAGCTTTGGATTTGGATTGTGATTAAATATTTGACACAGCATAGGTTTCTAACACAGATTGAATGTGGTCTAAGAACTTAAAAATTTTAAATTGGACATTCACCTATTAGGGTCCAATATCCAAAATCTAAATACATGGTTAGATTCAGCATATCAAAGAACCCCAAGAATTCAATTTTTGATGAAATCAAACAAAGTTTACTTTTGGACCCTTTTGACCTCAATGTGGACAAAGTTGATAACGGGGCCCAAAAATCAAAATACATGGTTAGATTCAGCATATCAAAGAACCCCATATATTCAATTTTTGTTGAAATCAAACAAAGTTTAATTTTGGACCCGGATTTGGACCAACTTGAAAACTGGGCCCACGATCAAAAATCTAAATACATGTTTAGATTCAGCATATCAAAGAACCCTAAGAATTCAATTTTTGTTAAAATCAAACTAAGTTTAATTTTGGACCCTTTGGACCTTAATGTAGACCAATTTGAAAACGGAACCAAAAATTAAGAATCTAAATACACGGTTAGATTCGGCATATCAAAGAACCCCAATAATTCAATTTTTGATGAAATCAAACAAAGTTTAATTTTGGACCCTTTTGACCTCAATGTGGACAAAGTTGATAACGGGGCCCAAAAATCAAAAATCTAAATACATGGTTAGATTCAGCATATCAAAGAACCCCATATATTCAATTTTTGTTGAAATCAAACAAAGTTAAATTTTGGACCCCGATTTGGACCAACTTGAAAACTGGGCCCATAATCAAAAATCTAAATACATGTTTAGATTCAGCATATCAAAGAACCCTAAAAATTCAATTTTTGTTAAAATCAAACTAAGTTTAATTTTGGACCCTTTGGACCTTAATGTAGACCAATTTGAAAACGGAACCAAAATTTAAGAATCTAAATACACAGTTAGATTCGGCATATCAAAGAACCCCAATAATTCAATTTTTGATGAAATCAAACAAAGTTTAATTTTGGACCCTTTGGACCTCAATGTGGACCAATTTAAAAACGGGGCCCAAAATCCAAAAACTAAATACACGGTTAGATTCAGCATATTAAAGAACCCCATGAAATCAAGAATAAAACCCCATTGAAATTGGTCAAGAAATAAGCAATTTATAGGAAGTATCTTCTTTTGCACAATCCTGTGCTATTAAATATTTCTTGCTATTGCGCAATACTGTACAATTGACAATTTCTTGCTATTGCGCAATATTGTGCTATTGGATATTTCTTGCTATTGCGCAATACTGTGCAATTGAAGATTTCTTGCTATTGCGCAATACTGTGCAATTGAAGATTTCTTGCTATTGTGCAATACTGTGCAATTGAAAATTTCTTGCTATTGCACAATACTTATTATATAATAATTTACACATCCTGTTTGGTGTGTATCTCCTACCATATCATTATTATTTGATTTTAAATATAAATCAGAAATAACCAACTTAAAATGGAAAATTTTAAAAGAAACAAAAAAGGAAAAAAAGAAAAAAAAGGGAAAAAAAATAAATCCCCCCCCAAAATTTTTTGAACCCCCATTATGATTCATCACCCCCAAACTCAATCCCAGCCTTCCCTTTGTGGTATGGTACCTTGCAGTACAATTTCAGAGAGATCCATACACTTGAACACAAGTTATTTTCTGGAAACTAGAAAAAAAATGTGTTTTTTGGCCCCTTTTTGGCCCCAAATTCCTAAACGTTTAGGGCAATTACCCCCCAACTCAAACCCAGCTTTCCCTTTGTGATATGGAACCTTGTAGTACAATTTCAGACAGATCCATACACTTACACACAAGTTATTGTCATGAAACTAGAAAAATGCTTGTTTTTTGCCCCTTTTTTGGCCCCTAATTCCTAAAATTTGGAGGCAATTACCCCCAAAATCAATCCCAGCATTCCTTTAGTGATATGGAACCCTGTGGTACAATGTCAGAGAGATCCATACACTAACACACAAGTTATGTCTGGAAGTTACAAAAATGCTTATTTTTGGCCCCTTTTTGGCCCCTAATTCCTTTACTGTTATTACCATAACCCCCAAAATCAATCCCAACCTTCCTTTTGTGGTATTGAACCTTGTGGTAAAATTTCATAAAGATCCATTCACTTAAACTAAAGTTAGAGTGCGAAAACCAATGTGTCTTCGGACGACGCCGGACGACGACGACGACGACGACGATGACGACGACGACGCCGGACGACGACGACGCCAACGTCATACCAATATACGACCACAAAAATTTTTTTGCGGTCGTATAAAAATCTGAATGTCTAAGGAATATAACTCTACCTCCAAAATAATTTATCTGTACAAGTAAATAAAAAACCCTTGTATAAGCATTACACCTGACTGCATGTTGACACAGTTTCTAACAAAAAATGTGATTGAAAAAAAAATCATTCTCTTGTCATGCAAGTGCGCCACATTGTCGTTTCTGGAATGGCAGATTTTAGATAACAAGGATCTGGTGGCATTGAAAACACAATGCTATGAAAAAGCAAAATATGTCGTTTTTATAATTCACTGAGAAATTTAATTTGTTTTCAGCAGTTTATTCCTCTAGGAAACCAAGTGATTTGTCTCGTGTTGTTTAGTTTCAATAGCTGAATAGTGGGACAAGAGAAAACCTGTAAGGCAACCATATAACATTCATGGCCAAGTCTTAGAGGAAGTTGAATAGGCAAAATACTTGGGAGTATACATACACCATAAACTAAACTGGAATACGCACATAGACCAAGTGGTGAGGAAAACCAACAACACAAGGGCTTTCTTGCAGAGAAATATCTTTCAGTGCCCAAGCAAGATCAAGGAACTCTGCTATAAGACCCTTGTAAGACCACAGATGGAGTATATCAGCATTATGTGGGACCCACATACTGCCAAAAACATTCATAACATGATAATGATACAACAAAGGGCTGTGAGGTTTGTTACTGGTGACTACCATTGAACCACTAGTGTTACAATCTTTTTACAACAACTGCAATGGCCAACCCTACAAGAATGTTGAGTTATGAACAAGGTCATAATGTTGTATCGTATTGTCAACCACCTTGTTGCAATATCAACAACCTGCTGAATTCCAACAGCAGCAACCAAAGATTCTGTGTTCCATTTGCAAGAACCCAGCTATACCAATACTTGTTCTTCCTAGACACCATCTGATTATGAAACAGCCTGCCATCAACTATAGTAGTCCGAGACTCAAGTGACACCTTCAAGTGTGAGTTGCACAAGACAAAGACGTGTTATGAACTATTTGCAACAATTTAATTGTACATATACTGGTTTTTAACTGCACTGTAAATAATGGTTTGATTGCACAACACATCAGTTTGATAACAGGTCAGATAGTGGACTGAACTGTATTTGGAAAAAGAGAAAAAGAGTGGACATTACAACGGTCTGTGAGCTTGTCTCGTTTTTGCCTGTTTATGTGAAATTACTTTTTTGACAGTCACTGTCCAATGTAAACTTTAATTCAAGCTGAAACACTATATCATGTTTAAAAGAAATTGACACCATCTCAGTTGAAAAAGTACATACAAAATTCTGTTAATTAGCACTTGGTGTTAAAAATGAATCATCCAACTTGGCCAGTAGAGGTGAACTAGAAAGTTATCCAATCATTATGTATGTTTTTCTTAACATAGTTAAATATTGGTGTTATCTAAACAATATTTTAGATAAAAATAGTATATTATATCAAGCTTTTCAAGAGTCTTTTACAATGGATTCAGAAAATAAAGAATCCTGGATTAGTAATATAAGAAAACTTTTGTCTTATCTGAAACTTGATTATTTATTCCATATGCCTAGTTCATCTAATTATAATATAACAAAAGTAAAAAGTTCTCTAAAAACTATATTTAACCAAATTTGGTTAAAAAGGCTTGTTAATGATAATACAAAACATTCCAAAGTTGGGAACAAGTTGAGAACATAACATAAATTTAAAAACATTTTCAAATTAGAAAAATATTTAAGTTGTGGTAATGAAAATGAAACAAGGTTGTTAACTAAATTTAGAATAAGCTCACATAACCATGATAACCTAAACTAATGAATAATTGACTTAAGCATGTTAAGCGCTGTCCCCCTTTATTATTATTTTCTTCTTCTTTATATACAGAAAAACATCAACTGGTTGATGATTACTTTCTGGCGCATGCCTGGTTTAACAGTGTTGTTAATAATTACAATTTTATTTTTCTAATTTCATAATAATTTTTCAATTTTTGTTGAGCCTGTGACTTCTGTCGCAGAAAGCTTGACATAGGGATAGTGATCCGGCAGCGGTGTTAACAAACTTATTAAAAGCTTAATATTTCAGAAGGTAGAAGACATGGATGCTTCATACTTTGTATATAGATGCCTTATGTTATGAAGTTTTTGCTTTTTGGTCTGTTTTTCTAATACTATAAGCAACAGGTCAACTATATTTGGTGTGTGGAATGACTGTAAGGTGTATATGTCTGTCTGGAAATTATCATCTGACCATGACCTCATTTTCATGGTTCAATGGTCAATCTCAAGTTTTCCTGGTTAAGTTTGTTTCTTAGATACTATATGCCATCGGTCAACTATATTTAAAGCATGTAATGATTGTAAGGTGTACATGTCTGTCTGGCATGGTTCATCTGACCTTGACCTCATTTCCATGGTTCATTCATCAATGTTAATTTTTTTCTGGTTAAGTTTATTTCTTAAGATACTATGTGCAATAGGTCAACTATATTTAAAGCATATTTGGTGTATGGAATGATTGTAAGGTGTACATGTATTTCCAGTTTGGTGTATCTGACCTTGACCTAATTTTCTTAGATCATGTTAAGTTTATGTGATAGTTGTAGTAAAGCTTTATATTTAGGACCATCAACATAAAATCAATGGTTAGTAAAGAAGGCGAGACATTTCAGCGTTTGCACTCTTGTTATATTTATAAGTAACATTTCCAATTTTTATTTTTTATTTTTGGTATAAGATAAAAACAAGATACAGATTATGCATGTAGGTATTTGTAAGTGTCAAGAAGAATTTCTCTTGTGAGTTTCTCCTTGAAGCACTCAGTAAAGGTGCTGCAGGTTATTGGTTCAGGTAATTTATTCCAGTCTTTTATAGTTTGGCAGAAAAAAGAAAATTTGTAACTGTCTTTGCTGCATGGAATTTGTCGGTATGTTTGTTCGTGGTTAGACCTGGTGTTTGCTTTGTTTTTAATTAGAATCTCAGTATATTTTGTTGTTGGTGATTCTATGGAACATGTTTAATCGGCTTTTAAGTCTTCTTTCTTGTAATGATGGCCAGTGATGAAGTGTGTAAAATTAGCATGTTTGTAACACTTTCAGTATATTGGTATTTAGAACATACGTATCTTGCTGCACGTCTTTTGACTTTTTCTATGGAGTTAATGTTCTCTGTTGTGCAAGGGTCCCAGACGGTGCAGCAGTATTCTAGTTTTGGCCTGATAAGGGCTTGATATGCTCGGTCTTTAATGGTTACTGAGTTTATTTTCATATTTCTTCTGATGAATGCAAGGGTCTTGTTTGCTTTAGATGTCATGTTTTGAAAGTGTTTGTTCCACTTTAAATTTGATGATATTGTTACTCCGAGATATTTTGCATTTTCAACAGAATCAAGAATGTGACCATGCATATTGTAATAAAAATGAATAGGTGTTTTCTTTATGGTCACTCGGAGTATGTTGCATTTGTCAGGATGGAACTGCATTAGCCAGTCTTGTTCCCATTTGATTGCCCCTTCTACGTCTTCTTGGAGTTTTAGGCAATCTGATGTTAATTTTATCTGTCTGTAAATGATACTGTCGTCAGCAAAGAGCCTGATTTGACTGCAGGTAAGTCATCAATGTATATTAAAAATAGTATTGGACCTAATACAGTGCCCTGAGGAACACCTGATGTAACTGGTATATTGTCAGAGAAATGGTTTTCTAGTATAACTGTTTGTGTATGATTTGATAGGAAAGATTTTATCCAGTTTGTAGCTTGTTCTGATATGCCAAAAAATTTAAGTTTATATGATAGAAGTCGGTTGTGTGAAACTTTATCAAAGGCTTTTGCGAAATCCGAAATCCATGATGATTAGATATGTTCGTATAATTTTATCATTATTTGATGACAGCTGGTGAGTTAGTGAAATTATCTGGGATTCCCAAGATCTATTTTTAGTATTGTATGAAATTTTTGTGTTCCAAGTGGAATCCATATTGCTGGTTTTTATTCACCAGTCAGTTGCCAGTAGTGTATATTTTATGTAGTTCTTTTCTTTCATAAATGTATATATGTTCAATGTTTTAATCAACTCAATCATTCAAATCATGTAAAGTACATTGTAGTCATGTTTTGTCTTGTAGTCATAATCAAACTGTAATTATTCTGCCCTAATATGGGCACTGTGATTAGTCAATAAAATCATTTGTATTTGTATTTGTATTTGTCCCAGATTCAATTAACCTTCAATTTGTTGGTTTACTTTAAGAATAAATGTAAGGAATTGTGGTGTATTTTGGTTTACATTGTTGGTGTAATATTATCAAACTCACCATGGTCTACTTTCTGTTTGCGTTGACCGTCAATGGTTTTGTTGTATATAATTAAAAATCAAAGCGTTTAAAAGACAATGATTGACGCTTTCTTAGTGTGCACTATTTGAAATTCTGGAAATGGAACTTTCACTTGTTTCTCTGTTATTTTACGGATCATTAACACTATTTTCAGTTGTCATAGCATCCAAAGACTGCTACCCACCAGAATGTACGATAAACATACATTTAACACATTCAGTGTCATTTAATTGTTCTTCTAGTTTCAGTTTAGTTTTGTATTAAAATATTACAGAATGTAATATTTCCGTGACTATACAATATAACACAGTACAATACGCTTTACTTATAAAATTGTTTTATATTGTAACTTAAGAGCATGATTTTCATAACGAAATCGCGTCTCCTCCAGGACTCGAACCTGGGACCTCTGTGTTATAAGGCATCGCTAAGCGGCTTTAACTGACTGAGCTTAAGAAGTACTTCCCTAGCTCAGCCGCTTATGGCTGGCTAAGTATCTACTACATGTACTAAAGGAAGCAATCGGGTCACAATATTATAACTATGCAAGCCAAATAACCTCTGAGCATAGTTAAAACTTACAAATGTACAAATACAATCAAAATAAACACACAAGTCAAACCATTTAAAGATTACATTTGTAGTTACCCTTTTGTAGTTTCGATGCTAAACATATAAAAATTTTATAAAAAATTCTGCAACCTTTCTCCTTTGTACTCTAATATTTGACAATTGGGTACTGAATCATGTTAATAGGGGATTACTGCATGCAGTGCCAGGGGTTCAAATTAGCGGTGGTCCGAGGTCCGTGACCTTCTATTTACAGGTTCTGACCTTTCCACCGGTAGTTAGTTACACCCGACGGACTTTCGTATTTTTGCAGGTTAAAAAGGTTACAAAAGAATTTTGAACAAAAAATATAAAAATCTAATATAGAAATAATCTTGAAATATGCAATTTTATTGAAAGGAAACTTATGTGTTTGCTTAAATTCTTCACAATTGATTTGACTGGTCGCCATACAAGATACCGGGAAACTAGAGAATATAATATTAAAACATAACAAAATAATTACAAATAATTTTATGACTAATCACAGTGCCCATACTAGGGCAGAATAATTACAGTTTAATTATGACTACAAGAAAAAACATACAATACTTAACATGATTTGAATGATTGAGTTGATTAAAACATTGAACATATAAACATAAGAACTGCATAAAATATACAAAACTGGTGAATAAAACCCAGCAATTTGGATTCCACCTGGAACACAAAAATTTCATACAATAATAAAAATATAATAAAGGGGGACAGCTCAAGTCAATTGTTCAATAATCATGATAATAGTGCATCTCTTTGTTTTGACAGTTGTTTTAAAAGTTTATTAATTATATAAATGATGTCTATATCTTCGTTGCTTAACAGCCAAATTAATTTGTTTTTATCTGAAAGTTTACTAAAATTCTTATTAACTTTTTTTAATTGATCAAAATATGGTTTGCGTACTGTTGTTAAACATGGGCATTGAATTAAAAAATGGATTTCATCTTCAACAGAATTTTTACATTTTCTTTCACTAATATCCAAGTTACAATATCTTCCCTTTTCAATGTTTAGGTTATGTGAGCTTATTCTTAATTTAGTTAACAACCTTCTTTCAATTTCATTACCACAACTTAAATATTTTTTCTAATTTGAAAATGTTTTTAAATTTACAATATGTTCTTAACTTGTTCTCAACTTTTGAATGTTTTGTATTATCATTAAACTCTGACAAGTCCGAAGTCTAAAGTCTGTTTGGTTTTGGTGTGCCCTCTTCCAAAAGAAAACCTGATGAAACAGGGGATACAGTGAGGTGATTGATGAAAAGCCTAAACGCAGCCCGAAAGACAGGATTTGACTAAAGACCAAAAATATGACAGGAAAAAAAAACAAGAACGTAAATTTTTCCCACACACCATACACACAGTGAAAGGGAAAGTGGTCTAGTTCGTTGGGACAAAAAAAAACTTAAAACTTGACCCCATAAAAAATCATGATAAAAAAAGTACCACCCAGCATCTATATATCTTGCCAAAAAAGTGGTTAAAAGAAACTGACCCAAAGTTTGAAAACGAAGTTGAGCTGTTATCCGTCACAAAGTTAGGGCAATGTGTTTTTAAACAGCAATTGAAACCAAACCAATTAGAAAGGTACATAGTGTTATTTAACACAGCGTATAGTGTTGGGGAAAAGGGGAAGCCTTTTTCTGACTGAATTTATTAACGAAATTCAGAAAACAATGAGATTAATGTAGTAAGATATGATAGTGCTTTGGAGTGGTAAGCATTTTCTGTTTTTATAAATTGAATTTTCAATAAAAAATGGACCTTCTAAGAATAAAGGAGGCCCCTTAAGTATTTTTGGTCAAAGGTCCTGGACCTTCCATTGCCTAAAGTAAATTTGAACCCCTGAGTGCTATCAACGATTTCCCTAAAACAAGTTTTGAAATTAAGATATTAGTCAAAATAAGTACAAATATAGATCTATTGAAGCACACCTTCAAGGGTGTGCTCAACTTTAGAGACTCAGCACGAGGTTTTTTGAATTGTAAATGTTGCTTAGGACTTTTTGTAAATAATGTTAGCACAACATGGACAAACAAGTGAGTAATCTATTTTATAGACGTTATAACAAAAATCTCTGTAATAAAGTCTGTGGATTTTCTGTAAAAATCTTGGCTAAATATGCCACAAAATCCCCATTTTCTATTTAATGCAATGAAACAATAAATATTATTGCTGTGAATGACGTTTCCCTTTGGTATATGTGCAAAATGGCACCTTGAAAATTTTGTAATCCACAGGCCGACAGAAGGGGTAATAAACTTGAAACCCATTGTTTCTTGAATGAACTTAGAGTCCTATATGAGCTTTATCTTTATGTTGAAAATAAATACAGGAAACGTCAAATTTCTCCAGTTATCATAAAATGTGCCTGAATATTAGATTGTCATTTGTCACATTATTTTTTATCTACCACTAAACAGTAAAATATTTATCATTTTGTAACAAATTGGTTACCATTTATTGATTTACTTAACATGCTTAATAATGTTGGAAAGCTTTCCTTGTCTGTCTAAAGAAGAAGGAAACAAAGTGTGGCCTGCAGACAATTGACATATATGTCCTTATTTAGCGTGGTAAAAGGGTTAAACAATCTTTTGAATGGATAATAATAACTAAACAAGATATGTCTGTTATTACTGTTAAGTACGTTTAAGGTTAAGAATATATCACTTGCAACAGCAAACATACATGTAGCATATTCAGCAATGAAACCGAAGCAGTAAAATAAAATTGTAACTTTATGCTTCTGAGTAAGCCAATCCAGCTAACATTGGCACAAGTCACATTCTAAAGAATATATCAAACTGTTGAACTGAAAACTGAAAATGGTTTGGTAACTTATTCCATAATACAACATATATATATGATTTAAAGACATACCTCTGAGACTGCTAAATATATTGGTCTGAAACAGCCATTTACAGACAATTTGTAAATGATGATAATATAAATAATTTTAAGACTTTGTTACAGAGCTTTTCATTAAAATCAGTATTTTTTTCAGGCTTTAGCATAAGTAAAGAAGCACAATCAAAAACCATCACAGTGAAAAATTCATCCTGGACAATATTTTGTTATGAAGGAAAACCAGAAAATGCTTTTTTGCTGTGGTCTAATCCTGTGGTAATTATAACTGATGTTAGACTATCTGCCTGCCTGCTACATGTATGGCAGTCAGGGTAAAACTTATATACAAGGGTCTATTATTTACTAAGCTAGTACAGGTAAATTAATTTTTTTCACTTATATAAGTAAGAAAGACATATTTTTTTCCTTTGTTGAATTTCTCTTGACTACATAGCTCTTATACAACTGTTAATTGTCTGTCTATAATACCAGTACAACTCTTGGAATTTAGATTGCCTGAGAAATGCCTTATATGTTCAATATATCGGCATAGTAGCTTAGACCACCATGAAAAAAGTACTCAATGAAACCTGTATTAATTACAATACATTCCTAATGTTCAATTGTCAACAAGTTTCCATGGACATTAAAATTGTTCACAATAAATTACTGAATATTGACATATTTATTAATATATTTAGAAGAGAGTTAGCTTATCAGAAAAAAAATGTATATCATTCTTTTCAATTATTATTTCAACAGTTATTGAATATGATGTATCATGGGATCAACTATCAACTTTCTAATGCATGATCCATAAGTAAGCCATCAACAACATACCGGTACATATAAAGTGACTTTCTAATGCATGATCCATAAGTAAGCCATCAACAACATACTGGTACATATAAAGTGACTTTCTAATGCATGATCCATAAGTAAGCCATCAACAACATACCGGTACATATACAGTGACTTTCTAATGCATGATCAATAAGTAAGCCATCAACAACATACTGGTACATATAAAGTGACTTTCTAATGCATGATCCATAAGTAAGCCATCAACAACATACTGGTACATACAAAGTGACTTTCTAATGCATGATCCATAAGTAAGCCATCAACAACATACCGGTACATATACAGTGACTTTCTAATGCAAGATCCATAAGTAAGCCATCAACAACATACCGGTACATATACAGTGACTTTCTAATGCATGATCCATAAGTAAGCCATCAACAACATACTGGTACATATAAAGTGACTTTCTAATGCATGATCCATAAGTAAGCCATCAACAACATACCGGTTCATACAAAGTGACTTTCTAATGCATGATCCATAAGTAAGCCATCAACAACATACCGGTACATATACAGTGACTTTCTAATGCAAGATCCATAAGTAAGCCATCAACAACATACCCGTACATATACAGTGACTTTCTAATGCATGATCCATAAGTAAGCCATCAACAACATACTGGTACATATAAAGTGACTTTCTAATGCATGATCCATAAGTAAGCCATCAACAACATACCGGTACATACAAAGTGACTTTCTAATGCATGATCCATAAGTAAGCCATCAACAACATACTGGTACATATAAAGTGACTTTCTAATGCAAGATCCATAAGTAAGCCATCAACAACATATCGGTACATATACAGTGACTTTCTAATGCATGATCCATAAGTAAGCCATCAACAACATACTGGTACATATAAAGTGACTTTCTAATGCATGATCCATAAGTAAGCCATCAACAACATACTGGTACATATAAAGTGACTTTCTAATGCATGATCCATAAGTAAGCCATCAACAACATACCGGTACATATACAGTGACTTTCTAATGCATGATCCATAAGTAAGCCATCAACAACATACTGGTACATATAAAGTGACTTTCTAATGCATGATCCATAAGTAAGCCATCAACAACATACCGGTACATATACAGTGACTTTCTAATGCATGATCCATAAGTAAGCCATCAACAACATACTGGTACATATAAAGTGACTTTCTAATGCATGATCCATAAGTAAGCCATCAACAACATACCGGTACATATACAGTGACTTTCTAATGCATGATCCATAAGTAAGCCATCAACAACATACCGGTACATATACAGTGACTTTCTAATGCATGATCCATAAGTAAGCCATCAACAACATACTGGTACATATAAAGTGACTTTCTAATGCATGATCCATAAGTAAGCCATCAACAACATACCGGTACATATAAAGTGACTTTCTAATGCATGATCCATAAGTAAGCCATCAACAACATACCGGCACATATACAGTGACTTTCTAATGCAAGATCCATAAGTAAGCCATCAACAACATACCGGTACATATACAGTGACTTTCTAATGCATGATCCATAAGTAAGCCATCAACAACATACTGGTACATATACAGTGACTTTCTAATGCATGATCCATAAGTAAGCCATCAACAACATACTGGTACATACAAAGTGACTTTCTAATGCATGATCCATAAGTAAGCCATCAACAACATACCGGTACATATACAGTGACTTTCTAATGCAAGATCCATAAGTAAGCCATCAACAACATACCCGTACATATACAGTGACTTTCTAATGCATGATCCATAAGTAAGCCATCAACAACATACTGGTACATATAAAGTGACTTTCTAATGCATGATCCATAAGTAAGCCATCAACAACATACCGGTACATATACAGTGACTTTCTAATGCATGATCCATAAGTAAGCCATCAACAACATACTGGTACATATAAAGTGACTTTCTAATGCATGATCCATAAGTAAGCCATCAACAACATACCGGTACATATAAAGTGACTTTCTAATGCATGATCCATAAGTAAGCCATCAACAACATACCGGTACATATACAGTGACTTTCTAATGCAAGATCCATAAGTAAGCCATCAACAACATACCGGTACATATACAGTGACTTTCTAATGCATGATCCATAAGTAAGCCATCAACAACATACTGGTACATATACAGTGACTTTCTAATGCATGATCCATAAGTAAGCCATCAACAACATACTGGTACATACAAAGTGACTTTCTAATGCATGATCCATAAGTAAGCCATCAACAACATATCGGTACATATAAAGTGAGATCTGCTTGATGAAGTAAAATTTATGAAAACAAGAAAATCATATTTTGAGTTGCCAATATTGTTTGATGGTTTTATAATTAGCATTGGAAAATACTCAAACTACTAAAAATAAGTTAAAATGCCAAATGTGTTCAATGATATCTGATTTTACTTATTTCTGAGAGATTATTTTGAGAAAATTCTATGTTGACTTATCAGACAAATGAATTGAACTTTTTGGTTGTCCAGATATGACTTTAAAACTTGTCCTTGACAATATGACATCTGTCAATGTCAAACCCTGGCTGTATCATGATTTTATGCTGGTTTTTCTTGGCATTTACATTGAGATAATTGGTTCTATCCACATTGTCCTAGATTTAAAAAAGGTAACTCACACACCAAGATACAATTTGTAAAAATGCCTGTTCATTCATACATGTATATATATATATATATATATATATATGTGTGTGTGTGTGTGTGTGTGTGTGTGTGTGTAGATATGTATATCATGTATATAGGGAGAGAGAAAAGGATGAAAAAAATCCTATAAACTACTGTAGAATGGAAATAATCAAATTACTACACAACTTTTGGAAAAAAATTCTAAACATGCTAAATAAATATAAGCCTCAAGAATAATTATGATTTCATATACATAACATTCAAGTCAGACATTGGTATTTATAAATATAACCAGTAACTAACATAATAAAATTTAACTTCCTTGAAAATTGTTAGAAGATATCAAGTGTTAATTAATAACTATAAGTTGAAGAAAGAAACAATATCATGACTAAAGGAAAAAAAACTAAAAGTTCACTTAACATATCACAAAAAAACAAAGATTGAACAACAAAACCCGGGGATGAACTCTACGGGTGTTTCTGAAGGATTGTTTTTTGTAACAACTAGTGACACACTGACACCTTTCTTTGATAAATTTTATTTTATAATCTTGGTTTTGATTTTTGTAGTTAAAAATATCTACAAACAATGGTACATCAGAATCTTTCCAGTTTATATGTGGTGATACTCCTGACCAGGTGGAAGAAAAGAAAGAAAGCGCTATGCAGTTACCCCAAGTCTTACAGAACCTTAGGTTTATGTTCAATGTGGACCTGAAGGATATGTCCTTTTCACCATTCAACCAGAGCTGTATTGGTATCCATAGCAACCAACAATACACTGCTGAATTTAAGTATAAAAGTAGGTTTTTGGGAATTCCATTTGGATATAAGTTTATTGTGACTTACTTCGTTGATTTTGCGGAGATGACATACTCACCATTTAAATACAACTGTATTGGTATACATGGTAAACAACAATATGATGTGTCCTTTGTATATAAGAGTAAGTGAAATTTATGTTGTATTCTAATATGATGTGCTTTGTTCGCTTTGTAAACAACAGCGTGATTAAATTCTCGATATATCTATACTTAGCGCAGACTCAGAGATGTACATATTAATGGCTGTTACTTTTTACCTCCCACGTACATACCTGCCAACCTCTGAAACCTTCAAAGAGGGAGATCTCCCCCTCAGCTGTCTTGAGGGGGAGATTTTGCGCGAATGACATTTTCAAGTGAAAAATATGACCTGTTTATTTATTCATTTACAAAACACAAATAAGAGCAAATAGATATACTTTATTTCTTCAATCATGGTTATATCCTATACAAGGTGTGTTGGTTTGTTTTTATACTTTTTCAATATCTTTGACATTTATGTCCCTTCAGGCCAGCATACCTCGGCTATGCCTTTGGGTTTAAATCTTCATTAAAACATGACCAATATATATGGAAGTTTATAACGACCTTGACTGGCTATACAGACCTTGCACGGTCAATATTTTAACAAGTATTGACTAACCCATAATTAAAATTTCAATTTAAACATTGAATAGAAGTATAGATCAATTAAATGATTTTCAAAATATAATTATATTTTTTGTCCTAAGGTCTTCAAAATCATTAAATTACCATCCTTTTATGATTCTTTGTTCAATTTGTATTTAATTTATATTCTTTAACCAATTGACATTATTTTAAGTAGTGTAACTTAAAACAGGATTGAACAGGGGAAGTAACCCGAAATTTCTTTGAAGTGTTTTCAAATATACAAAGCTTGAGGTAAAAGTCGTTAATGGTCGTTAATTAGTATTATGTTTGACACCCAAGCTGTCATGTGAAGCCATTTAATTTTCACATGGACTGTGATTTACAGGTAAAAAATACCCTCATCAGTGACACGAAAACGTTATTAATTATGACTGGTCAATTCAAGGTAAAATATCCAATTAAAGGGGGAGATTCGATACTCCCGTGCGGGAAGGGACCGGCAAGCGGGAGATTTCCGGAATTTCGTCATTTGAGCGGGAGTCTCCGACTCAAAACGAGAGGGTTGGCAGGTATGCACGTAAATCCACATGTATTGTAACCAATGTGCAAACACTATGTGGATTTCGTTGTGTTCAAATTGAAATTGAAAAAGTAACCACAGAACCGTTATTCCTATTCTAATGCATAACAAAAAGAATTAATGCATAAGATCTTAAATAATGTATAAAGTGATCAAAATAAAATAAAATTCCACGAAATTTCATGAATGATCTTGGCGCATTAACGTCATGTCAAAACATGACGTCATACGAATGAAAAAACTCAAGCTTAAGAATAAGATTATTCCGTCACGTGTACGCTATAAATTTGGATAATATCGTATTGAAATGGAGTTTTGAGGTAGGTGTTGTTTAATTTTATATTCTATTGCATCATTCGCATATTCATGAATTTCAGCAAGTCAACATGATGGCTCACTCCTTAGTTATGACATGTCAACTGTGGATTTGACAGTAAATAGTAGCCAACGAAAAAAAATGTTTGGGTTACGAATTATAAGGATTGAACACATTTTTTCTAGTGGTTATTTAAGAAATAATTCACCTATAATGGTTTACTTTTATAAATTTTTACTTGGATGGAGAGTTGTCTCATTGGCACTCATACCACATCTTCTTATATCTATCCAAGCCTTAGATTTATTTGAAATTTGTAGCTTTTATCTTACAGGGGGTAAAATAGAACAGCCATACACACAGCAGTCTTACCTTCGCTTCAGTTTTTCAAATTACCCTATTTGTCCTATTGTAATCGAAATAATTCATGCAAGCCATAGATTTGTTGTCATTTTCACATGGCCTGGGCCATGTGAAAATTTCCAACAAATCTATATGCTTGCATGAATACACCTTATTGCTATTTATTCCAATCCGGAAAAGTTCTAAAATTACACAACTCTTTCAAACCAGTTGAGGCTATCTGGGGCCCTGTTTAAACAATGTACTGTGCATACAAATTTTCAAAGAGTTGCGGTATGTTTAAAGCATTGTAAACACTTCAAACAAAGCATTTTTCTAACTTTAATTTGTGATTAAAAAATTGGATCATAAACTATACAAATTTCAAAATGTTCACTTTCTACATGTTTTCCGCCCTCGGCTCATTACTGATGACCTTTGTTCTTGCGTCACTTGACCCAAATAGGAAATTGTCCAAGTGACTGTCTTTTCTGGATTGGCCTAAATAGCGATAAGGTGTTTTATTTCTTTAATGAATGAGTCGCTCGTATTTTCCTTAGAAGCTGGTAGCTGAGTAAATGACCTTGGTCTTCACAAATTTGTCTGTCTACTTTTTTGCGATTTATAAAAGTTATCAGTGAAAACTTTGCGTCCAAAACGCACCAATATTTTTTCTCTCATCGGTTATGTTTGCACAAAGATATCTAAACAAGGTGATTTTGACAAAACACCAGTATATTTCTACGAGTTACTTTGAGAATCATACGAAGCAATGTACAACCATGTCATATATTTTTCACGAACACACTTGAAATGTTATAATTATCTTGGATATTGGTTATTTAAACCTATGCTGTATTTCTTTCTGTCATCAACTATTTGAATTATTGAGATTACAAGCTTATAAATGTCAATTGATCATATCAATGATTATTTTTATATACATTCACCAGACATTTTGTTCTAGAAAGTTTCAATTGCATAGTATTACTTCATTAAAGGACTTGAAAATTGTTAAGTGAATTGGAAAAAAGATTTGCATTACTGGTAATATTTATTTTGAAAAAAAATATAGAAAGTTTACATTTGAATGTAATTGCATTTAAGGTTATTACCATAAATCCAGTGTCAGAAAAAAACAGTTCAATCAAATATCATCATGACCATGGCAAAAAGGGGTACTACTTGTACAAGTTATTTTTATTTACTTTAAGAAGTAAATATCAATATATTTATATAAGTAAATTTGTAAGATAATTATACAAGTTTATTTTACCTACTTGTATAGGTAAATTATTTTAATGACTTAGTTATGTCCCTTAGACATTCAGTTTTTTTTACTTATACAAGTAAAAAAGTCATATTATCTTCTTTTCTTGAATATCTCAGGACTTCTTTGCTTAAATATAATTTTTAATTTTCTGTCCATTGCAGATGTCTTTACTAATCATTTAAGTGTAATTTCATGGACAATGAAAATCTCATTTGTCTGTTATCTTCAAAACACTGCTCATTTACAAGCCTGCAGGGGGTAATTTTTGAAGGCCTTGCACAATTAAGACATTTGCACAATTAGTTTCTCTGTTGAATTAATGAGATGAAACATTGAACTCTACTTAAAAATTATGAGCTAACAAGAGAAAAATTGTTTAAGGCATGTTTTTACATCCCAAAACTTGAGAATTTTAGAGTTTGTAAAAAAAAAAATATTTATACAAGTAAATTTTTTAAGAAAATTAAGGGGAGATTATTCAAACATTATAAGAAAATATGAATATAACAAATTTACTTATATAAGTATACTATTATTTACTTCTTCAAGTAAATAATAAATACTTGTACAAGTTGTACCCCTAACTGCATGTTGCACTGAGGAAAAGATAGCAAAAAGGGGAAGTAAATATAATCAAATTTAATCAAATTCTATAATGTTGTAGTATAAAAACAAATAACCTAATGAAATTAAATGAACAGGCTTTTTTTAAATAAACAGACTGGACATAAACTATTGGACAAACCAACATGGCCACCATGGCTAAAACTTCACATACAGTTACACAATTTGGATAGTCATGGATAAATTATTTCCTGAATTTACATTAATTTCTATAAAAATATATGTAACTTGGGGGAAATGATGTTATAAAAATGATGTCTTAAATATATGATTTTAATATCAAATGTCGTTCTTTAGAAACAGATAAAGTAAAAGTAAAATTATTTTTATTTCTATATCAGGAATAGAGTTATGGTATGTGGCTTACCTGTTCATTGGATTGTTAATCTTTTTGTATGCCAAACACCTTAGTCAGTAAGTATTTACCTGTTCCTTGGATTGTGTATCTTTTTGTATGCCAAACACCTTAATCAGTAAGTATTTACCTGTTCCTTGGATTGTTAATCTTTTTGTATGCCAAACACCTTAATCAGTATGTATTTATATGTTCCTTGGACTGTGTATCTTTTTGTATGCCAAACACCTTAGTCAGTTAGTATTTACCTGTTCCTTGGATTGTTAATCTTTTTGTATGCCAAACACCTTAGTCAGTAAGTTTTTACCTGTACCTTGGATTGTTAATCTTTTTGTATGCCAAACACCTTAGTAAGTATTTACCTGTTCCTTGGATTGTTAATCTTTTTGTATGCCAAACACCTTAGTCAGTAAGTATTTACCTGTACCTTGGATTGTAAATCTTTTTGTATGCCATACACCTAAGTCAGTAAGTATTTACCTGTTCTTTGGATTGTTAATCTTATGATACCAAACACCTTAGTCAGTAAGTATTTACCTGTACCTTGGATTGTTAATCTTTTTTATGCCAAACACCTTAGTCAGTAAGTATTTACCTGTTCCTTGGATTGTCAATCTTTTTGTATACCAAACACCTTAGTCCGTAAGTATTTACCTGTTCCTTGGAATGTTTATCTTTTTGTATGCCATACACCTTAGTCAGTAAGCATTTACCTGTTTCTTGGATTGTTAATCTTTTTTATGCCAAACACCTTAGTCAGTTAGTATTTACTTGTTCCTTAGATTGTTAATTTTTTTGTATACCAAACACCTTAGTCAGAAAGTATTTATCTGTTCCTTAGATTGGAAATCTTTTTGTATGCCAAACACCTTAGTCAGTGAGTATTTACCTGTTCCTTGGATTGTTAATCTTTTTGTATGCAAAACATCTTAGTCAGTAAGTATTTAACTGTTCCTTGGATTGTTAATCTTTTTGTATACCAAACACCTTAGTCAGTAAGTATTTACCTGTTCCTTGGATTGTTCATCTTTTTTGTATGCAAAACACCTTAGTCATTAAGTATTTACATGTTCCTTAGATTGTAAATCTTTTTGTATGCCAAACACCTTAGTCAGTAAGTATCTACATGTTCCTTGGATTGTAAATCTTTTTGTATGCCAAACACCTTAGTCAGTAAGTATTTACTTGTTCCTATGATTGTTAATTTTTTTGTATACTAAACACCTTAGTCAGTATGTAGTTACCTGTTTCTTGTATTGTTAATATTTTTGTATGCAAAAAAATCTTATTCAGTAAGTATTTACCTGTTCCTTAGATCGTAAATCTTTTTGTATGCCAAACACCTTAGTCAGTAAGTATTTACCTGTTCCTTGGATTGTTAATATTTTTGTATGCAAAAAAACCTTATTCAGTAAGTATTTATCTGTACAATGGGTTGTAAATCTATTTGTATACCAAACACCTTAGTCAGTATGTAGTTACCTGTTTATTGGTCTTTAAATTTTTATGTATGCAAAACACCTTAGTCAGTAAGTATTTACCTGTTCCTTAGATTATAAATCTTTTTGTATGCCAAACACCTTAGTCAGTAAGTATTTACCTGTTCCTTGGATTATTTATCTTTTTGTATGCCAAACACCTTAGTTAGTAAGCATTTACCTGTTCCTTGGATTGTTAATCTTTTTGTATGCCAAACACCTTGGTCAGAAAGTATTTACCTGTTCCTTGGATTGTTAATCTTTTTGTATGCCAAACACCTTAGTCAGTAAGCATTTTCCTGTTCCTTGGATTGTTAATCTTTTTGTATGCCAAACACCTTAGTCAGAAAGTATTAACTTGTTCCTTGGATTGTTAATCTTTTTGTATACCAAACACCTTAGTCAGTATGTATTTACCTGTTTCTTTGATTGTTAATATTTTTGTATGCCATTCACCTTAGTCAGTAAGTATTTACCTGTTCCTTAGATTGTTAATCTTTTTGTATGCCAAACACCTTAGTCAGTATGTATTTACATGTCCTTGGGTTGTTAATCCCTTTATATGCAAAACACCTTAGTCATTAAGTATTTACCTGTTCCTTGGATTGTTAATCTTTTTGTATGCCAAACACCTTAGTCAGAAAGTATTTACCTGTTTCTTGGATTGTTAATCTTTTTATATACCAAACACCTTAGTCAGTATGTATTTACCTGTTTCTTTGATTGTTAATATTTTTGTATGCCATACACCTTAGTCAGTAAGTATTTACATGTTCCTTAGATTGTAAATCTTTTTGTATGCCAAACACCTTAGTCAGTAAGTATTTACCTGTACCTTGGATTGTAAATCTTTTTGTATACCATACACCTTAGTCAGTAAATATTTACCTGTTCCTTGGATTGTTAATCTTATGATACAAAACACCTTAGTCAGTAAGTATTTACCTGTACCTTGGATTGTTAATCTTTTTGTATGCAAAACACCTTAGTCAGTAAGTATTTACATGTTCCTTAGATTGTAAATCTTTTTGTATGCAAAACACCTTAGTCAGTAAGTATTTACATGTTCCTCAGATTGTAAATCTTTTTGTATGCCATACACCTAAGTCAGTAAGTATTTACCTGTACCTTGGATTGTTAATCTTTTTGTATGCCAAACACCTTAGTCAGTAAGTATTTACCTGTTCCTTAGATTGTAAATTTTTTTGTATGCCAAACACCTTAGTCAGTAAGTATTTACCTGTACCTTGGATTGTAAATCTTTTTGTATACCATGCACCTTAGTCAGTAAGTATTTACCTGTTCCTTGGATTGTTAATCTTATGATACCAAACACCTTAGTCAGCAAGTATTTACCTGTACCTTGGGTTGTTAATCTTTTTGTATGCCAAACACCTTAGTCAGTAAGTATTTACCTGTTCCTTGGGTTGTTAATCTTTTTGTTTGCCAAACACCTTAGTCAGTAAGTATTTACCTGTACCTTGGGTTGTTAATCTTTTTGTATGCCAAACACCTTAGTCAGTAAGTATTTACCTGTTCCTTGGATTGTTAATCTTTTTGTTTGCCAAACACCTTAGTCAGTAAGTATTTACCTGTTCCTTGGAATGTTAATCTTTTTGTATGCCATACACCTAAGTCAGTAAGTATTTACCTGTTCTTTGGATTGTTAATCTTATGATACCAAACACCTTAGTCAGTAAGTATTTACCTGTACCTTGGGTTGTTAATCTTTTTGTATGCCAAACACCTTAGTCAGTCAGTATTTACCTGTTCCTTGGATTGTTAATCTTTTTGTATGCCAAACACCTTAGTCAGTAAGTATTTACCTGTACCTTGGATTGTTAATCTTTTTGTATACCAAACACCTTAGTCAGTAAGTATTTACCTGTTCCTTGGAATGTAAATCTTTTTGTATGCCATACACCTTAGTCAGTAAGTATTTACCTGTTCCTTGGATTGTTAATCTTTTTGTATGCCAAACACCTTAGTCAGTAAGTATTTACCTGTTCCTTGGATTGTTAATCTTTTTGTATACCAAACAGCTTAGTCAGTAAGTATTTACCTGTTCCTTGAAATGTTTATCTTTTTGTATGCCATACACCTTAGTCAGTAAGTATTTACCTGTTCCTTGGCTGTTAATCTTTTTGTATGTCAAACACCTTAGTCAGTAAGTATTTACCTGTTCCTTGGATTGTTAATCTTTTTTATGCCAAACACCTTAGTCAGTAAGTATTTACTTGTTCCTTAGATTGTTAATTTTTTTGTATACCAAACACCTTAGTCAGAAAGTATTTATCTGTTCCTTGGATTATTAATCTATTTGTATGCCAAACACCTTAGTCAGTAAGTATTTACCTGTACCTTGGATTGTTAATCTTTTTGTATGCCAAACACCTTAGTCAGTAAGTATTTACCTGTTCCTTGGATTGTTAATCTTTTTGTATACCAAACACGTTAGTCAGTAAGTATTTACCTGTTCCTTGGAATGTTTATCTTTTTGTATGCTATACACCTTAGTCAGTAAGTATTTACCTGTTTCTTGGATTGTTAATCTTTTTTATGCCAAACACCTTAGTCAGTAAGTATTTACTTGTTCCTTAGATTGTTAATTTTTTTGTATACCAAACACCTTAGTCAGAAAGTATTTATCTGTTCCTTAGATTGGAAATCTTTTTGTATGCCAAACACGTTAGTCAGTGAGTATTTACCTGTTTCTTGGATTGTTAATCTTTTTGTATGCAAAACATCTTAGTCAGTAAGTATTTACCTGTTCCTTGGATTGTTAATCTTTTTGTATACCAAACACCTTAGTCAGTAAGTATTTACCTGTTCCTTGGATTGTTCATCTTTTTTGTATGCAAAACACCTTAGTCATTAAGTATTTACATGTTCCTTATATTGTAAATCTTTTTGTATGCCAAACACCTTAGTCAGTAAGTATCTACATGTTCCTTGGATTGTAAATCTTTTTGTATGCCAAACACCTTAGTCAGTAAGTATTTACTTGTTCCTATGATTGTTAATTTTTTTGTATACTAAACACCTTAGTCAGTATGTAGTTACCTGTTTCTTGGATTGTTAATATTTTTGTATGCAAAAAAATCTTATTCAGTAAGTATTTACCTGTTCCTTAGTTCGTAAATCTTTTTGTATGCCAAACACCTTAGTCAGTAAGTATTTACCTGTTCCTTGGATTGTTAATATTTTTGTATGCAAAAAAACCTTATTCAGTAAGTATTTACCTGTACAATGGGTTGTAAATCTATTTGTATACCAAACACCTTAGTCAGTATGTAGTTACCTGTTTATTGGTTTTTAAATTTTTATGTATGCAAAACACCTTAGTCAGTAAGTATTTACCTGTTCCTTAGATTGTAAATCTTTTTGTATGCCAAACACCTTAGTCAGTAAGTATTTACCTGTTCCTTGGATTATTTATCTTTTTGTATGCCAAACACCTTAGTTAGTAAGCATTTACCTGTTCCTTGGATTGTTAATCTTTTTGTATGCCAAACACCTTGGTCAGAAAGTATTTACCTGTTCCTTGGATTGCTAATCTTTTTGTATGCCAAACACCTTAGTCAGAAAGTATTTACCTGTTCCTTGGGTTGTTAATCTTTTTGTATACCAAACACCTTAGTCAGTATGTATTTACCTGTTTCTTTGATTGTTAATATTTTTGTATGCCATACACCTTAGTCAGTAAGTATTTACCTGTTCCTTAGATTGTTAATCTTTTTGTATGCCAAACACCTTAGTCAGTATGTATTTACATGTCCTTTGGTTGTTAATCTTTTTATATGCAAAACACCTTAGTCATTAAGTATTTACCTGTTCCTTGGATTGTTAATCTTTTTGTATGCCAAACACCTTAGTCAGAAAGTATTTACCTGTTTCTTGGATTGTTAATCTTTTTGTATACCAAACACCTTAGTCAATATGTATTTACCTGTTTCTTTGATTGTTAATATTTTTGTATGCCATACACCTTAGTCAGTAAGTATTTACCTGTTCCTTAGATTGTAAATCTTTTTGTATGCCAAACACCTTAGTCAGTATGTATTTACATGTCCTTGTGTTGTTAATCTTTTTATATGCAAAACACCTTAGTCATTTAGTATTTACCTGTTCCTTGGATTGTTAATCTTTTTGTATGCCAAACACCTTAGTCAGTAAGTATTTACCTGTTCCTTGGAATGTTAATCTTTTTGTATGCCATACACCTAAGTCAGTAAGTATTTACCTGTTCTTTGGATTGTTAATCTTATGATACCAAACACCTTAGTCAGTAAGTATTTACCTGTACCTTGGGTTGTTAATCTTTTTGTATGCCAAACACCTTAGTCAGTCAGTATTTACCTGTTCCTTGGATTGTTAATCTTTTTGTATGCCAAACACCTTAGTCAGTAAGTATTTACCTGTACCTTGGATTGTTAATCTTTTTGTATACCAAACACCTTAGTCAGTAAGTATTTACCTGTTCCTTGGAATGTAAATCTTTTTGTATGCCATACACCTAAGTCAGTAAGTATTTACCTGTTCCTTGGATTGTTAATCTTTTTGTATGCCAAACACCTTAGTCAGTAAGTATTTACCTGTTCCTATGATTGTTAATCTTTTTGTATACCAAACAGCTTAGTCAGTAAGTATTTACCTGTTCCTTGAAATGTTTATCTTTTTGTATGCCATACACCTTAGTCAGTAAGTATTTACCTGTTCCTTAGATTGTAAATCTTTTTGTATGCCAAACACCTTAGTCAGTATGTATTTACATGTCCTTGGGTTGTTAATCTTTTTATATGCAAAACACCTTAGTCATTAAGTATTTACCTGTTCCTTGGATTGTTAATCTTTTTGTATGCCAAACACCTTAGTCAGTAAGTATTTATCTGTACCTTGGATTGTTAATCTTTTTGTATGCAAAACACCTTAGTCAGTAAGTATTTACATGTTCCTTAGATTATAAATCTTTTTGTATGCAAAACACCTTAGTCAGTAAGTATTTACATGTTCCCTAGATTGTAAATCTTTTTGTATGCCAAACACCTTAGTCAGTAAGTATTTACTTGTTCCTTGGATTGTTAATCTTTTTGTATGCCAAACACCTTAGTCAGTAAGTATTTACCTGTTCCTTGGATTGTTAATCTTTTTGTATGCCAAACACCTTAGTCTGTATTTACCTGTTCCTTGGATTGTTAATCTTTTTGTATGCCAAACACCTTAGTAAGTATTTACCTGTTCCATGGATAGCTAATCTTTTTGTATGCAAAACACCTTAGTCATTAAGTATTTACCTGTTCCTTGGATTGTTACTTTTTGTGGTATGATTGCCAATGAGACAACACTCTGCCAGAGACCAAATGACATAGAAGTTAACACTGTCTGGCGTTCAACAATGAGCAAAACATACCCCATAGTCAGCTATAAAAGGCCACTTTGAAATGACAAATGTAAAACAATTCAAACAAAAAAACTAACGGCCTGATTTATGTACATAACAATGAACAAAAAACAAATATGATATACAGCAACTAAAGACAACCACTGAATTACAGACTCCAGACTTGGGACAGACACATACAGAATGTTGCGTGGTTATACAAGTTTGCGGGTGCCCATCCCTCCCCCTAAGCTGGGACAGTGGTGTAACAGCACAACATAGTTATGAACAAACTATTAAAATCAGTTGAAAAGGTCTTAACTCATCAGATCGATACAAAGCAGAAAAACAAGGATCAAAAACACAGACTGGATGTGGCAGGGTATTTATACATCCCTACAACAAATTGGATTGTTAATCTTTATGTATGCCATTAGTCTATTATATACTTTGTTTATATTGATAACATAAGCATTCAATGTTATTTATTCATCAATTGAACAAGAGTATATTTTGTTTGTCACACTTTTCTTTTTTTTTCTAGATTATATTTAAAAGTACTATCAAATTTTATTTATGCACAATATCATGGAAGAAGTCAGATCTTATTCCTTCTAAACTCACCTGGCCCTGATAGTCCAGTGTGTGTTTTTGCTATTTATAGCACAGGTGTCTTGAAAACCACAGCATACTGGATGTACCATCAAGGTTGATTTGAGTACTGAAATATTATCTTCATGTGTCCAGCCTAATGAAAGACCTGATTTTAGGTCTAGTGGTAATCTGTTTGACAGATTTTATAAACTGTACATAGCTACATTAAGTTTAATCTCCTATGCTCTATATTGGACCCTTAGTACCAATTTTCAAAACATATTTTAGGAACTGACTTTAACTTGCAGTTTTATTTTGAAGCTATAGATGCAAACATGAAAAATACAGATTTAAAAAAAAGTTTTTTTCTCAGTTATGAAATTTTCTGTTTGCTATAGAAGACATATTGAATTGTACTGACAACTATTGAAACTAATTGACCTTTGATTTTTGTCATGCCTGCGACTTCTGTCATAGAACGTGAGACAGGGGTAGTGAGCAGACGGCAGTGGCCACGGCGGCGTCAACAAACTTCTTAAAAGCTTAATATTTCAGAAGGTAGAAGACTTGGATCCTTCATACTTTGGATATAGATGCCTTATGTCATGAAGTTTCCGTCTGTCATATGTCCATTGTGCTTGCCCTCATTTTCATGGTTCAGTGACTACTTGAAAAAAAAGTTAAGATTTTTAGTATTCTTAATTTCTCTCTTATTATGATAAATAGGATAACTATATTTGGTATGTGCGTACCTTAAAAGGTCCTCATGCCTGTCAGACAGTTTTCGCTTGACCTCTACCTCATTTCATGGATCAGTGAACAAGGTTAAGTTTTCGTGGTCAAGTCCATATTTCAGATACTATAAGCAAAAGGTCTACTATATTTGGTGTATGGAATGATTGTAAGCTGCACATGTCTAAATGCCAGGTGTCATCTGACCTTGACCTCATTTTCATGGTTCAGTGGTTAAAATTATGTTTTTGTGTTTTGGTCTGTTTTTCTAATACTGTATGCAATAGGTCAACTATATTTGGTGTATGAAAATATTTTAGGATGTACATGTCAGTCTTGCAGGTTTTATTTGACCTTGACCTCATTTTTACGGTTCATTGCTCATTGTGAGGTTTTTGTGTTTTGGTCTGTTTTTTCTTAAACTATGAACAATAGCTCAATGATATTTGGTGTATGGAATAATTGTAAGGTGTATATGTCTGTCTGGCAGTTATCATCTGACCTTGACCTCATTTTCATGGTTCATTGGTCAATGTTAAATTTTCTGGTTAAGTTTGCTTCTTAGATACTATATGCAATAGGTTAACTATATTAAAAGAATGTAATGATTGTAAGGTGTGCATGTCTGTCTGGCATGGTTCATCTGACCTTGACCTCATTTTCATTGTTCATTGATCAATGATAAGTTTTCTTGGTTAAGTTTGTTTCTTAGATACTATGTGCAATAGGTAAACTATATTTGAAGCATAGAATGATTGTAAGGTGTACATGTCTGTCTGGCAGAGTTCATCTGACCTTGACTTCATTTTCATGGTTCTTTGCTCAATACAAAGTGTTCATGGTTTGGTATGTTTCTTGTATACTATAAGTAATAGGTCAACTATATATGGTGTATGGAATGATTTTAAGGTGTTCATGTGTTTATGGCTTGGTTTATCTGACCTTGACCTCATTTTCTATGATCATGTTAAGTTTATGTGATACTTGTAGTAAAACTTTATATTTAGGACTATCAGCATAAAATAAATGGTCAGTAAAGCAGGCAAGACATTTCAGCATGTGCACTCTTGTTATCTTTAAGACAAATGATTATGTTTTCATATTATGATTTCAGGAATGTTAATTTACAATATGGATCTGGTGTATCACTTGGTATTATAGCATCTTTACTCATTCTGATGATAATTCTTCACAGAGTTTTCCCACAGGTAATGATTTAGTTTACCAGATTTATTTCTCTATTGATATATTTTAACAGTCTTCTCAAATGATATTTTTTTAAACAATGTTAGTTTGATAGCCTGTCAAATTGATCATAAGTTAATCATTTTGTCATTTTAAAAGTATATACATGTTATATGGGTCATGAAAATACTTACTTGAATATGAATGCAATATTTGTTTCTTGATATTAAGCATCCTGGATCAATGTATAACAGCTAGAAAACTATAAGCAAAGCTTACAGAACCATAGGCCCTGCTTCTCCAACTTGAATAGACATTGCAATGTCCATGTTTGCAGTGGGATACCCAATAGTGATTCAGATCAAAAGTAAAACTGGCGATCTTAATATTCTAGAGTTCTGGTAAAATCTAGTCAGTGGTATGCCCCCACCCTCCTTGTCATCTCATGCTATTAGAAACACTCAAAATTATTTTTAGAAAGGAAATGTGTGTTCAATAACAGTATGTATTAAAGTTTATGTGAAAGTGTCACCAAAATCTAGACTTTGGTTTAGGAAGAGCTGCTGATACAAGTTACCTTTCACTTATATATGACTATATTTTTATTACCAGTGGGAAGACATAAAAAAGCAGTTTGAATAAAAAATTTCAGAATTTTTGGGACATGTGAGGTGAACCAGCTGTCAGTCAATTGATCCTTTTTGTTGCACCACTTTTAATGGAATAATGGCCCTTGTCCACATTTTCCCCAGTGGCAGGTAGGGATATATGCCATGTTTGTTTAATAACATAATACAAAGGCCGTACAGAGGCCTATAATTGCTTACTACCACTTCATTTTAGCTCAAGTGAATAATTGTCTCATTGGCAATCATACCACATCTAATTTTTGTCTCACCTGCGGCGCAATATGAGAGACAGGGATTACCATTCGGCGGTGGCGGTGGTGTAAATTTTTTGTATAAAGCTTTATATTTCAGAAGATAGAAGAGCTGGATGCTTTATACCTTGTATTCAGATACCTTATGTAACGAAGTTTCCGTCTGTCATATGTCAGCTGTCCTTGATCTCATTGGTTCAGCAACTGCTTGAAAAAAATTATAGTTTTTTGTCATTTGAATTTCTCATTATCATTTTGATCATTCAACCTGTTTTAATTGAAAGCTAACTAACTAATTTTTACTATCAAATACAAAAAACATGATACTTTTTCACCAATTGTGAAAATAAATAGGGATTTACCTCCATGGCTATTTTTAATTGGGGGGATAACCCAGAGTATTTTATACGAACAAGATTACTATATTTGATATATGGGTTCCTTGCAACTGTTTTTCAATTACCATAAGCAATAGGTCAACTATATATGGTGTATGGAATAATTGTAAGAGGAACATGTCTGTCTGACAGGATTTATCTGACCTTGACCTCATTGTCATGGATCTTTAAAATCAATGGTCAGTTAAACAGGCGAGACATTTCAGCGTGTGCACTCTTGTTATATACTGTATTACATTTTTATACGCTAAATTTGTATTACTTTTTAGCTCACCATTCCGAAGGAACTGTGAGCTTTAGCCATCACTTGGCGTCCGTCGTCGTCGATGTCGTCGTCCGTCTGGTGTAAACTATTTCAAACATCTTCTCCTCTGAAACTACTGAACCAATTCCAACCAAACTTAAGCTGAATGATCCTTAGGGTATTTAGAATAAAGTTAGTGTTTTATTTTCTGTTTCGTCAAAAAACATGGCCGCCATGGCTAAAAATAGAACATAGGGATAAAATGCCGTTTTTGGCTTATATCTCAAAAACCAAAGCAGTAAGAGCAAATCCGACAGGGTAAAAGTGTTCATAAGGTAAAGTTCTATCAGCCCTGAAATTTTCAGATGAATCTAATAACCCATTGTTGGGTTGCTGCCACTAAATTGGTAATTTTAAGGGAATTTTGCAGTTTTTGGTTATTATCTTGAATAGTATTAATGATAAAGATAAACTATAAACAGCAAATACGTTCAGCATAGTAAGATCTACAAATAAGTATATATGACCAAAATTGTCAATTGACCCCTTAAAGAGTTATTGCCCTTTAAGGACAATTTTACACAACTTGTTTATCATGTTTTCTAACTTTAAAAAATCTTCTCCTCTGAAACCACTGAACTAATTCCAACCAAACTTAGGCTGAATAATCTTAAGGGTATCTAAAATAAAATTTGTGTTTTATTTTCTGTTTCGTCAAAAAACATGGCCACCATGGCTAAAAATATAACATAGGGGTCAAATGCAGTTTTTGGCTTATATCTAAAAAAAAACAAAGGAGTTAGAACATATCTGACGGGGTAAAAGTGTTCATTAGGTGAAGCTCTATCAGCCCTGATTTTTTCAGATGAATCTAATAACCCATTGTTGGGTTGCTGCCACTAAATTGGTAATTTTAAGGAAATTTTGCAGTTTTTGGTTATTATCTTGAATAGTATAAATGATAAAGATAAACTGTAAACAGCAAATATGTTCAGCAAAGTAAGATCTACAAATATGTTTATATGACCAAAATTGTCAATTGACCCCTTAAGGAGTATTGCCCTTTGAGGACAATTTTACACAATTTGTTTATCATGTTTTCTAACTTTAAAAAATCTTCTCCTCTGAAACTACTGAACCAATTCCAACCAAACTTAAGCTGAATGATCCTTAGGGTATCTAGAATAAAGATTGTGTTTTATTTTCTGTTTCGTCAAAAAACATGGCCGCCATGGCTAAAATTAGAACATAGGGGTAAAATGTATTTCTTTACTTTTGAAGAAAATATGACAGATACAAAGAACATTTCAATGGAATTTTTAAGCCACTCATTAATATTTATTAAAAAGCAAAAATAATCATTGATGAAAGATTTAAGCAAAAAATTACAGGTGAGCGATTCAGTCTCTTGAGAGCCTCTTGTTTAAACATAATATAGATATTGTAATCTTTTATATTTTAGAGCCTGAAGAAACTTGGATATTTGATGGTTTTATCAAGCTGTTGTGCATCAATGTATTTTTGGCAACTTTTTGCCACCTCATTTTCATCAACAGTTATGTCATATTGGAAATGGATCTTGGGATACATTGCTGTGACAGGATTTCTAAGTTTTGGTGCATGTTATAAATATGGACCAATCACAGACCAGAAAAGCCTTAATATCTTAAAGTGGTTAATTCAGGCTTTAGGTGTCTTAATGATTTATCAAGGGACTCAAATACCCCAGATTTCTGTAGCTATAATAATGGTGATATTGACAATATATAATTTACCTAAAGGATTATATAGTAATAAACTAACGAGATATTTTAGGTAAGAATTAGATATAAGAATAGAGCATCTTTGTAAAAACCTGCCTCATTGAACACATTTATTAGAAAGTATCAGTAGTCTCATAATACTGAGGATTTATTTATTCTCATCTGAACTACCATGGTAAATGCTGTCAGGAGTATACTGATATTGACTTTGTAAGGGTTTGGCTTGTGTACTTCACGTTGTTCTAGTGTGAAGATGACTCTAAATAATATATGTCTATGCAGGTCAAGATTCTTTTAAAAACCGAGAGATAATGTATGATTCAACAGAACTATGTGACAACATAAAATTATTAGTGACAGCACAAAAATTGCTGATATGCTATTGTACATGTTCACAGGATGTTAAAGGCTTATGTGGAACTTAGAAGTTGTCAAGGAATTGATTTTATCAAAACAGATACTTGTAGAACAAACAGTCCCTTTTTGTTAATTGTATAAAATAAAGAGATGTGGTATAATTGACAATCAGACAACCCTCCACCAGAGACTAAATGATGTGGATGTAAGCAACTATAGGTCATTGTACTGCCTTCACCAATGAGCAAAACCCATATCTCATAGCCAGCTATAAAAGACACCACCATAACAAAACATAAAACAATTCAAATGAAGAATTATGTACAAAACAGCAACAAATGACAACCACTAAATGATAGGCTCTTGACTTTATCCATTTGATTTACAAGGATTGAATATTTTAACTTATGAAAATTGTTTTTCTTTTTGTTCTGCTCAAAGTTACTGGCAAATGTGATGTAGCACAAAGTACATGGACTCTTTTGTTATTCCCACCCCACTTAGTGGCAGGGGCATATAATGTTACCCATGTCTGTCATTTCGCCTTTCTGAAATTAAACAGTTGTCTGGACTTCTTTTTCATTATGCCTGCAGATATTGATCTAATTTTTGGTGCATTTGTACATTGGTGTATAAAAATGACTTACAGATAGGATATGCTTGTCCTTCCAGTTGACTGAATTTGGTGTCCTTGGGCCATTGGACTTGTTCAGACTTTTTTGTAATGCCTATCGATCTTGAACTCATTTTTGGTTCATCAGAGTACAAAATGTATAATAATGACTTACAGATTGACATTTAAACATTCTTTTATTGTCCTCTGTGTATTTGCATAGACAAATATTTTTTCATTCATATTTTAAATCTAATCAGAAATAAAAATTATCTGTTTTCTTTTCTTTGTTTTTTTTTAGATATAGATTATTCAAACCTAAAGTCAGATTATTAACAGAAGAAGAATACCAAAAACAAGGATATGAAGAAACAAAGAAAGCTTTGGAAGATCTACGCAAGTTTTGCCAGAGTCCTGATTGTAAACCATGGAAAGTTATCAGTAAACTCAAAAGTCCTGATAGGTAAAACATTTTATTGTTGATTCAGCTATTTTTGTGGGTATCATCAATTTTCAAGGATAGAGAAAAATGGTATTTTCCTCGATATTTGATTTTATGATTTTCAAAAATTCTGCAATGCAGTTCCACAATAATACAATGTGTAAATTTTGCCTTGTTCTAGCTGGACAAGGAATTAATTTTACCCCTTAAGGAACTTGTTAAAAAGAATTGACTCTGTGATTACTTTTTTAGCACCCACTCTGTAGAAATATGTATTTTGTTGAACACTTTGATAGATTTGTGGTTCACCTGTAGCGACCATATCCAAGAAAATTAGTACTCCACAAGTACTAGTAATGAATCCACAATATATTTAATACATGTACTCCACAAGTAGTAATGAATCCACAATATATATAAAAGTAGAGTATGATTTACGTTCAAAAGATTTCAGGTTATGAAGAAACAATCTATAAAAGTAATCAAGACACATTAAATGTAAATTTTGTAACTTAAGTTACCACCCTAGCTGGTCTTATACTAGCATACTCACCTTAATTACTGGAGGTCTTGGCTTCAATCCCATGCCATGTAAAACCAAAGACTTTAAAGTTGGTATTGGCTGCTTATCCACTAAGCATGCAGATTTAAGGAAAGGCAAAGACTGGTTAACTCAATTAGAATAATGTAACTGGGTAGGGTGCAATTTCTTCTGGCTGATTGAATCTGGACTAGCATGTTAAAGTCAATCAAACTTAATTTTGATCCAGCACAAGCAGGATATGTTATCACATTAAATGTGCAGATAATACTGTAAATTCAGAAATTATTGTGAGGTTTTTATTAATGCGAATAATGCTACTGGGTGAGTATCGCAATAATAAAAACTTGCATTTTGATATCTAATACATAATACTGTATGCAGATTTTCCTGAAATCGCAATAATTGATCTTGCATTATTGTCCATTTTTTAAAAATCGCAATAATAAATGCACACAAAAATTTCTGAATTTACAGTATTTGCTATCGGACATAATGGGTAGGCATACATTTCATCACATTTTAAATATCATCTTTGGTGATATTGTTCTTATGTGTGATTGACATGTAATCTGTTTTACTTTTTCATCGATCTTATTGCTATTTCAAAATCTGCAACGCTTGACCCAAGATTTGAACTATTGACGTCATATAACAATCACTTTTGCATTGTTGCATCATACATTTTCTCTTGTTATAAATTTCATTTTTTTTACGACCCCAAAAATTTCGGTTGTATATTGCTATGACGTCGTCGTCATCCGAAGACATTTGGTTTCCAGACAATTTTTTTCCCTTAAGATTTAATAAATTGTCAATTTTCCAAAGAAAAATTGGGTATCACAATTTATTTTGCTAATTCTTTGTATATAGTCTGAAAACAGATTTTAATCCATGGCTGAAGCTCCACTTATGACATCAAACTTTTAAGAGAAAGTCTGTGATTGCCATTATCGGCAGACAAATTGTGATAAAGTGATATTATTGTCGAGCCTTCGACTTTAGTCGAAAAAGCGAGACATAGCAATCCTACATTCCGTCGGCGTCATCGGCGGCGGCGGCGGCGTCCACAAATATTCACTCTGTGGTTAAAGTTTTTGAAATTTTAATAACTTTTCTTCAACTATCCTGGGTTTGTACCAAACTTGGACAGAAGCTTGTTTATGATCATAAGATAGTATCTAGAAGTAAATTTTGTAAAAAAATAAATCCATTTTTTCCTTATTTTACTTTTAAATGGACTTAGATTTTCTGCCAGGAAACAACACATTCACTCTGTGGTTAATGTTTTTAAAATTTTATTAACTTTCTTATACTATTTTGGATTTGTACCAAACTTGGACAGAAGCTTGTTAATGATCAAAAGCTAGTATCTAGAAGGAAATTTTGTAAAAAAATAAATCCATTTTTTCCGTTTTTTACTTTTAAATGGACTTAGATTTTCTGCCAGGAAACAACATATTCACTCTGTGGTTAAAGTTTTTAAAATTTTAATAAATTTCTTATACTATTTTGGATTTGTACCAAACTTGGACAGAAGCTTGTTTATGATCAAATGCTAGTATCTAGAAGGAAATTTTGTTTTCTTCCAGTTAACATTACATTCAGTCTCCAGTTAAAGTTTTTAAACATTTATTAGATTCATAAACTATCCTGGATTTTTACCAAACTTTGACAGAAGCTTCTTACAATCAAAAGATAGTATCAAGAGGAATATTTTTATTGATTTACTTACTCATTTTTGTTGGGCCTGCGATTAACAGAAAAAGTAGGCGAGACACTGAGTTCCGCAGAACCCTTACAAATTTAAATGTGTGGAAATACTTATATATTTTTTGGGTATCAAATTTCATGGATTTTGTAGTTACCTTAGGTACTAAAACTACAAATTTTAATACCAAATGAAATGCATTTTCTCTTTAATTTCTCACGTACATTATATGAAACAGGAATTCAAAAATCCATGGATTAATTATTTTCCAATAAACCACAGAAATTGAAATTTACAAATAAAAGTACTTGATCTTTTCATATAAACTTAAAACCAATAGGTATCTAGAGGTCAACATACAGTTTTTGTCTCGCCTTGACAGAGTCAAAAAGTGAGACATAGGTATGCTGTTTCCGGCGGCGGCTGCGTCAACAATGTATTAGTTTGTGATTAGGTCTAGTTTATGGTGAACCACTAGTGGTAGGTCAATGATATTTGGTATGCAGTTGTATTAGCATTGGCACATCTCATCACCATGGAGATTATTTGCCCCCCCCCCCCCCCCCCCCCCTCAGTCATGGTCTATTGACCTTGAAACTTTTGCTTAGTTTTCATGTATTAGTTTGTGATTAGGTCAGTTTATGGGGAACTACGGTACTAGTGGTAGGTCATTGATATTTGGTATGCAGTTGTATAAGCATTGGCATATCTCATTTCCATGGAGATTATCTGGCTCGGCCCACTCAGTCATTGTCTATTGACTTTGAAACTTTTGCTTAGTTTACATATATTAGTTTGTGATTTTTTTTTTTTTTTTTTTTTTTTTTTTATAATGAATTTTCTTTATTGTAACAAATAGACTAGCACAACATGTATGAACAAAAGGTATACAGAATGGCATATTTACACAAAGGAAGTATTAAATAATTAAACAACAATTGAATATATGATGGCGCAACAATAGGTTGAAAATAAATAATTTTCTTATAGCATTGGAATCTTATTTGTTCTTGCAATATTTGTTAGTGGTGTTTCAATCAAAATTCAACATTTATTATTTATTCTATAATAGGGGCCCAGGGACTCCAGTATTTGTTATATTCATCTACAGAGAGGTTTTTAATTGAAATGTATTTTTCTAAGTTCAAGTGTTCCTTTAAATAGTTTTTTAAAGCATTTAAATTTGGCAAAACTTCTTGTAATTTTGTTCAGTAAATATAGTATTTTGAAAGCAGAATAATCTTATTTTTAACAAAATTCAATTTAACATTTTCGTAGAGTTCAAATAGAATAATCATTATATTCAAAGGCAGTTCAATATTTGTCATTTCAAAAATCCAGATATTTAGTGCATGCCAGAGGGTGGCGACCATCGGACAACTCCAAAATAAATGTTCTATGGTCTCTTGTCCTTCTTTGCAAAATGTACATATGCTGCTACTATTTATTTTCATCTTGTAAAGTAGTGAATTAGTTCCTAAAATTCTATGTATAATTCTATATTGGAACCAGCAAAGCTTAGTGCTTCTAGTATATTTTGTACACGAAGTGTGTATATTTTTCCAGTTAATACCAGTCATATTAAGATGGTTCTCCCATTTTTCTTTTGCAGCAAAAGTAATATATTTCTCATTCAATACTTTGTACATGTCCTTTGAACCTTTTTTTGATTCAAAGAAGATACTTATGTTAAAAGGTAATATTGCTTGAATTTTTTTCTCCTTTACTTCAATATTGATCGTGTTTAACCACTCATTAAGCGAGTGTGCTATTCCATAATAATGTAAAATATTTGGCCTAAATTGATATAATTGTTGGAAATTTTGAAATGACATAACTTTGCCCTGATAATCTAACAAGTCATGCACTGTCCAAATTCCAGCGTTTGCCCAGTTTTTATAGTAGACTCTTGAACCACCAATTTTAAAGTTTTCTACCTTCCATAAAGAATAAGATAGAATTTCATCAATACATCTTGGTTTTCTAATTTGATTAAGGGTTTTCCATGCATCAAAAACCTCTTGCCAAAATTTATTTGATGACCTTTTAATAGGCCCAATATAACTTAGTTCACTAAAATTTATTTGCTCCACAATAGAGACTAATCTCACCCACTTTGAATTCGAATTATACAGCCGTCTTACCCATGTAAGTTTCAGTCCCTGTATAAATGCTTTTAAATTTAGCATTTTTAAACCACCCATATAATAATCTTGACATAAAAGATCTCGCTTGACCTTATCAGGTTTATTATCCCAGATAAAAGCATACATTTTATTTGTTAAATTACATAACATGTTCTCATCTGGACTAGGGATAGATAGAAACAGATGATTTAATTTAGATATGACCAAAGTTTTTAAAATGGTAATCTTTCCAAAGGGGGTGAGATACTGTTTTGACCATTTTTTCAAAGTGTTGTCTATATTATCTAAAACTGGCCTATAATTTAAATTAATCATTCTATCTAGGTCGACTGAAAAAGTAATTCCAAGGAGCTTAAATGTACTGGAGCCCCATTTCAATCCCCACTTTACACAAATTTGATCCTGGCTATGTTTTTTGCTACCTATCCAAATAACACTTGTTTTTTCTATATTAATCTTAAGTCCCGAGATTTCAGCATACAATTGGAGAACACGAAGAGATGCATCGAGCGATTCTGGTGAGCCATCTAATATCAATGATGTATCATCTGCATATTGAGAAGGTACAAATTCTGTATCATCTATAGTAATACCCTTTATCTCCTTACTATTTCTTACCAAAATGCCTAATATTTCTGCACATAGCAAGAAAATATAAGGAGATAAAGGATCTCCCTGTCTACAGCCTCTCTCTACAGTGAAGAATTCTGACAGAAAACAGTTTTGTGTCACTGCAGCTGTTATATTGTTATAGAAGGTTTTAACCCAGGATATAACTGATTCACCAAAATTAAAATATCTTAATGTATCATAAAGAAAGGACCAAGAAATGGAATCGAATGCCTTCTCAAAATCAATCAGCAAGAGAATTCCTGGGATATTATTTTCTTCAGTAAAATGTAAAATATCATATATTAATCGACAGTTTTCGCCTATATATCTACCTGGAACAAAACCAGTTTGATCAGAACTTATTAATTTTGACAAAACAGATTTTATTCTCTCTGCTATACAGCTTGATGCCAATTTATATGTAGAATTTAGAAGAGTAATAGGTCTCCAATTCTTAAGAAATTAGTTTGTGATTTGGTCAGTTCAAGGGGAACCATTAGTGGTAGGCCAATGTCAATTGGTATGCAGTTGTATAAGCATTAGTACATCTCATTTCTATGGAGAATATTTGGCCCAGCCCTCTCAGTCATGGTCTATTGACTTTGAAACTTTTGCTTAGTTTACATATATTAGTTTGTGATTAGATCAGTTTAAGATAAGCTGCTAATGTTAAGTCAATGATATTTGGTATGCAGATTTATTGGCATTTGCAAGTCTCGTTTCCATTGAGATTATATAGCCCCACCCTCTCATCATGGTTCATTGACTTTGAAACTTTTACATAGTTTACAAGTTAATGTTTATGTTTATGTTTGTTTAAAGGAACAACTTATGATAAGTCAATGGTATTTGGTATGCAGTTGTATTAGCATTGGCACATTTCATTTCCATGGAGATTGTTTAGCCATGTACCTTCAGTCATGGTTCATTGACTTTGAATATTTGCATAACTTACATGTTAAAGTATTGCTATTTTAATTTCAAGATTTGCATTATCAAAATTACAAAAAGGTGAGACATATCTCTATGTTAACAGTTTATTAAGAATAAACAAGTGTCTACACAATATGTCAAGCTCTAAATTTTACAAGTGTCTACACAATATGTCAAGCTCTAAATTTAATAAGTGTCTACACAATATGTCAAGCTCTAAATTTTACAAGTGTCTACACAATATGTCAAGGTCTAAATTTTACAAGTGTCTACACAATTTGTCAAGCTCTAAATTGAACAAGTGTCTACACAATAAGTCAAGCTCTAAATTTAACAAGTGTCTACGCAATATGTCAAGCTCTAAATTTAACAAGTGTCTACACAATATGTCAAGCTCTAAATTTTACAAGTGTCTACACAATATGTCAAGCTCTAAATTTTACAAGTGTCTACACAATTTGTCAAGCTCTAAATTGAACAAGTGTCTACACAATAAGTCAAGCTCTAAATTTAACAAGTGTCTACGCAATATGTCAAGCTCTAAATTTAACAAGTGTCTACATAATATGTCAAGCTCTAAATTTTACAAGTGTCTACACAATTTGTCAAGCTCTAAATTTAACAGACTTAAAAAACTTCCATCAATACCAATACAATCATGATGATACCTTTTCTAGTCTGAGCGTCTGAGCTGCAAAATTTAGTACCATACATTTAACATAAACAAATGTCTCTTTTATAATTACTGAGTCTATTTGAAATAACCATATCCAACAATAGAATAAATTATCCTTAGGCTATTCCTTGTTATATCTCCTTTGACCAACTTTACCAATCATTTAAAAAACATTAATTTTAATCATGTGCTTTTTATTTGCTGTTACATGGAAATCAAATGTTTTGTAACCTTCTTATCTATATAAATACCAGTAGATCCCCATGAAAAACACAAATTTTAGAAGGATGAAATTTCTAGCATAATAGGACTCACCTATCTACTGTTTTTTTTTTTCCAAAAAAATATTATTGGGTATTTTTTTTTAAACAGGTTTGCTAGTTTTATTGAAGGAGACTCTTGGCATGTGAATGATCAAGAACTATTAGAATATGACAGTTTTAATGATGAAGAACTACACACAGAAAATGAGGAAGAGGAGGAAGAAAATATCATCTCAGAAGATGAAAACCCAGAATGATGTATTTCTTCTAGAAAAAGGAAGATAGGTCAAATGGGTTTCATTCATATTCATGTGATAGATTTTACAATCTATAATAAAAACCCTCCCAAGTTATGTGGTTTTTAACAGAAGATGACAGTCCTAGCATCGAAGTACTTTGTAACACCCTCACTTTATAAACAATTGACTACTGTTACAACTACCATCATTTACTCTTTTATCTAAAATAACAGTCAGTATTAAAGATAGTCTGTCTGGCATTCCTTTGCTTGTTTCTGTATACGCCTGTCATAGATGGAACATATTATTGTATACGGTTTGTCTTCCTGACCACACATCGTACAACCTAAGAATGCTTTGATCAAACTTCATGAAACTTGTATGCAATGATTTGAATTGGTGAAAGAAAGCTCCTTTTCAATTTCAAAAATTATTCTGTTGGTCTTTCTAGAGTTATGAGACATTAACCTTCAAATTATCAGCAATTTTCATATGTGATACAATAGCTAGGGCAAGCTTGGATAAATTTACTTCAAGCTTTACACTGTTCTTGTCACCCACACAACTGCACAGTTCTTGCCATATATTTATGAAATTTATATCGAAGGTTAACATCAGCAATGTCTCGGATGAGTTTCAAAATCAGCAATGATCAATTATTTTTACAGGAGTTATGTCTCTTAGAAATGTAAATTCTATAGATAACTGAATTGCTAGTGCTCTCAGGTGTACAGTACTTGCCTGATATTTATCAAATTTATATCAAAGGTAAGCATCAGCGATGTGTCGAAAGAGTTCCAAAATCAGCGCAGATCAGTTATTTTTACAGGAGTTATATCTCTTAGAAATATACATTCTATATATAATTGCATTCTTGCCAGATATTAAGGAAATTTACATCAAGGTTTATTTCAGAAATGTCTCAAGTGAGTTCGAAAATCAGATTCTATACAAAATTGCATTATAAGGGCTCTCAATTGTTCATTGTTTGCAAAATATTTATGAAATCCTCAAAGTGCTTTATGAAAGGAATAATTGTCGGAAATTGGCGAAATTTTTGTTTTGTCAACTTCTTGTATAACAAATGTTGTATGAAGCCTTTTTTAGAAGAATGTAAAAATTTGTTTCTTCAGTTCATGCTCTAGTACAAATAATGGATATTTTAAGATTATTTGTTTTACTGGTTTTGACATTATTTTTATACTTGTAGGGGATGTGGTAACCCTAAAGTTTTTGTCCATCCAAACATTTGTCTGTCTGTCAACAATTTTTATGAATATAAAAGGAAAGGTAGGAGGTCTTGAAGTTTGGCACATTTGTTGTGCATCATAAGTAGATGTGCATTTTCTTTTTTGTTGAAAATTGGCAAATTAGTTTTGGAAAAAATCAAATTTATGTTTAAAAATCATTAATGAGTATGGTATGGGTATCTTCCACCATCTTGGATTGTAGAATAGCAAAACATGGTCTAGATTTTTAATAAGGTCAGCAAATTTCGATGCAGGAATGCAATTTACTAATAAGAATTTTCATTTAAATGAACAAATTTATGTGATCTTAAGTTATGATTACTCCAATCTTTACAAAAGTAGAATATTTTTGCTTGATTTTAATGTTTAAAACTTTGCGTATTAAGGGGGGCGGTAACTCAGAAAAAGTATAATTTATAAAGGAATCTTCAGGAAATTTCTGTTTTTGTTATAGCAGGGAAAAAAGTATGTTGACCAAATTTTTTCTTTTGATATTTTTGATATTCTGAAAGCATTTTATAAGAGGTATCTTCTCATATTTTATTTCAATTACTTAATTTACCTTCTATTCACATTATGATGATTTTTCTCTGTATAATCCATACAAAATGTGTCATTTTTAGCGCACCTTGCCCAAAGGGCCAAGTGAGCTTTTCTCATCACTTGGCGTCCGTCGTCCGTCGTCGTCGTCCGTCGTCGTCGTCCATCATCGTTAGCTTTTTACAAAAATCTTCTCCTCTGAAACCACTGGGCCAAATTTAACCAAACTTGGCCACAATCATCATTAGGGTATCTAGTTTAAAAAATGTGTCAGATGACCCCGCCAACCAGCCAAGATGGCCGCCATGGCTAAAAATAGAACATAGGGGTAAAATATAGATTTTGGCTTATATCTCTGAAACCAAAGCATTTAGAGTAAATCTGACATAGGGTAAAACTGATTATCAGGTCAAGATCTATCTGTCAACAAATCTGACAACCTGTTGTTGGGTTGCTGCCCCTGAATTGGTAATTTTAAGGAAATTTTGCAGTTTTTGGTTATTATCTTGAATATTATTATAGATAGAGATAAACTGTAAACAGCAATAATGTTCAGCAAAATAAGATCTACAAATAAGTTGTCATGACCAAAATTGTCAGTTGACCCCTTTAGGAGTTATTGCCCTTAATAGTCAATTTTTAACAATTTTTTGTAAATTTTTGTAATCTTTTACAAAAATCTTCTTCTCTGAAACTACTGAGACAAATTTAACCATACTTGGCCATAATCATTATTAGGGTATCTAGTTTAAAAAAATTTGTCCGATGACCCCGCCTTCCAGCCATCATGGAATTTTCAGACGAATCCGACAACCCGTTGTTGGGTTGCTGCCCCTGAGTTAGTAATTTTACAAAAATTTTGCAGTTTTTTGTTATTATCTTAGATATCATTATAATATCTAATATCTAATACTATTAATTATGATTATAACCTTATTTTACATGATTTCCAAAGCATCAGTAAATACAGGTGAGCGACACAGGCTCTTGAGAGCCTCTAGTTTCACAACCTGTAGCTTGAAAACAAGGTCTGTGCCTTATCATTTTTATTGTCTCGCCTGGGACGAAAGTCGCAGAAAGTGAGACATAGGTATTACTATCCGGCGGCGGCGACGGCGGCGTAAACTATTTGTATAAAGCTTTATATTTCAGAAGGTAGAAGACCTGGATGCTTCATACTTTGTATGCAGATACCTTATGTTACGAACTTTCCGTCTGTCATATGTCCAATGTCCTTGACCTTATTTTCATGGTTCAGCGACTGCTTGAAAAAAAAGTTTAGTTTTTTTGTTATGTAAATTTCTCACTTATTATGAGTAATAGGATAACTATATTTGGTATATGGGTTCCTTGCAACGTCTACATGTCCATCAGACAGGGTTCACCTGACCTCAGCCTCATTTCATGGATCAGTGATCAAGGTTAAAGTTACGTGATTAGGTCCGTTTCTCAGATACTACAAGCAGTAGGTCAGCTATATGTGGTGTATGGAATGATTATCAGGGATACATGTCAGTCTGGCAGGTTTCATCTGACCTTGACCTCATTTTCACGGTTCATTGGTCAATGTTAAGTTTTTGTGTTTTGGTCTGTTTTTCTAATACTATAAGCCATTGGTCAACTATATTTGGTGTATGGAATGATTGTAAGGTGTACATGTCTGTCTGGCAGGTGTCATTTGTCCTTGACCTATTTTCATGGTTCATTGGTCAATGTTAAGTTTTTGTGTTTTGGTCTGTTTTTCTAATACTATAAGCAATAGGTCAACTATATTTGGTGTATGGAATGATTGTAAGGTGTACATGTCTGACTGGCAGGTGTCATTTGTCCTTGACCTCATTTTCATGGTTCATTGGTCAATGTTAAGTTTTTGTGTTTTGGTCTGTTTATCTTATACTGTATGCAATAGGTCTACTATATTTGGTGTATGGAATGATTGTAAGGTGTACATGTCTAGCTGGCAGGTGTCATCTGACCTTGACCTCATTTTCATGGTTCAGTGGTCAAAGTTAAGTTTTTGAGTTTTGGTCTTTTTTTCTAATACTGCATGCAATAGGTCAGCTATATTTGGTGTATGGAATGATTGTAAGGTGTACATGTCTAGCTGGCAGGTGTCATCTTACCTTGACCTCATTTTCATGGTTCAGTGGTCAAAGTTAAGTTTTTGAGTTTTGGTCTTTTTTTCTAATACTATATGCAATAGTTCAACTATATTTGGTGTATGGAAATATTTTATGATCTATATGTCAGTCACGCAGGTTTTATTTGACCTTGACCTCATTTTCAAGGTTCATTGCTCAGTGTTAAGTTTTTGTGTTTTCGTCTGTTTTTCTTAAACTATAAGCAATAGGTCAACTATATTTGTTGTATGTAAGAATTGTTAGCTGTACATGCCTGCCTAGCATGGTTCATCTGACCTTGACCTCATTTTCATGGTTCATTGGTCAATGTTTAGTTTACTTGGTTAATGTTAAGTTTATGTGACAGTTGTAATAAAGCTTTATATTTAGGACTATCAACATAATATCAATGATTAGTAAAGAAGGCGAGACATTTCAGCGTGTGCACTCTTGTTAATCTAACATTTCAAGATTTCAAAGTAAAATGTAGGTAAATTATTTAGGTTTTCTAATGACTTATGCGAATTAAGATTCATTTTAAATATCAAATTATTATCCCCAAACTCCCTGAAATAATAGGTAGGTATAATTTTCCAGTTAGCACAAGTTTCATCAGTTAATCTTTTAACCCAGTTTATTTTGATAGCCTCAATGTATGCATCAATATCCGTCATTCTCATTCCCCCTTCAATATAATCTTTTCTTAACACTGAGCATTTAACTTTCTCACTACCACCCTCCCATAAAAAATTAAATAAGATTTTTTTAAATTGACTTATAATCTCACTGCTTAGATTTATCAATGAAGCAACATATGTTATATTGGGAATAACTAGTGTTTTGATTATAGTTATCTTTCCAATCATACTCAATTTTCTTTTCTTCCAATCATTTAGTATCTTTTCTGATTTTTCAAACTGTTTATCTATATTAAGTGTTTCACATTCTTATTTGTTAAGGCCGAAATAAATACCAAGACTTTTCACTTTATTTTTCCAATTGATACTTTCAAATTTATCTTTGCAATGTTTTAGTTTACCTAGCCATATACCCTCTGTTTTGTTTCTATTGAGTTTTAGTCCAGAAAAAGATCCAAAAGTTTCTATTAAATTTAGTGCATGTCTTATTTCATCTTTAGATCTTAAAAAGAGAGTTGTATCATCTGCTAGTTGTGAGATTTTTAGACTATGAGTTTTTTTATCAATTTTTATTTGTATTCCTTTCAGATCATTATTATCCCTTATTCTACAAGCCAGTATTTGGACTGATAAAACAAACAATAAAGCACTTAAAGGGCAACCTTGTCTAATTCCCCGTTGAATCCCAAAGGTTTCAGAGATCCACCTGTTA